CGTTCCAAGATATTACAGTATGTACACACGTATATCTGCTTACTCTCTGTGTAAAATAGAATAAAGAAATATGAGAAAATATGAAAAATATGAAAATTTCTTTTTTTTTGTACACAAACTGTATATAAGCACTTTCTTTACCACCACCTTTAGAATAGTATCGCATCAGTCAATATACACTATATAGTATATAATATAATAACATAGATACACAAACTTAGAACAAACGTATTCTATACCACATGTATAGCAAAATCTACTTTAAATATATGAACAGTACGTAGGAAGAAAAATCTATAATAGTAGAGGAAAAAACAATTTAATGATAGTCGAATTCTTGTATATTTGAAGAACTATTTATTATTGCTATAGGATTTCATTGCTCCTGTTTTGTTCTCTTTTTTTTTTTGTTTTTTATTCGTTTTTCGTATTAAATAAGTTTTCCGTTCAATTTCTCAATGAAAATGTATGTTGCATGTACACATATAAAAAGGAAGAAAGAGTTCTTAAAAATTTTCGTACAAGGGAAAAAAAAATTGTTTGGTTTTTCATTTTTCGGTAGGTCTTCTATAAAATATGCCTTTTTTTTTTAATTTTTATATTTGCTCTTTACAGCCAACATATGTGTACTTAAACTGTTAAATACAGGTGAACAGTATTCAAAAGAAAAATTGAGAAAAAAAAAACCAAAAATGAGTAAAAGACTAAAACAAAATAAGCAATGCAAACTGTTGTTTGCTTGAATCTACGGCGATGTCTATTACATCCGGTCAGTTGAGCATTCTGTAGGGTGATTAAATTTAAAAAAAAAAAATGAAATAAAGGAAAAGCAAAAACAAAACAAGGAATGTTAAAGGAAATTAGAACTAGAATGCTCTTCTGGATGTTTTTTGTCATATTTTTGTTTATAAATTTGCAAAAGGAAATGTAAAAACAAAAAAAAAACAAAAATAATAGATTTGAATTTTTCGTTTTTTTTTTTTTCAATTTCAAAAATGGATGGTTTCTTGTTTTTTTGTATTTCACTTCAATACAATTGGACACTATAGGTGAGGCATTCACTTTCAACTACAAAGAAAGGACGCAGGCTAAACATATTGAAGCTACAATAAATTCAAAAGATATCAATGATTCGCAAATAGTTGAATAATCATATTGTATAAATGTATATGGGTATATGTACAATACTAAATAGACTCAATTATAAAAGATCTTTATAAAAAACGGAGCTTTTATGAATGAAAATAGGAAATCTTAAAACAAAAACCAATTAAAATATTATTGACGATTGCCTTATTAAAACTATCTTACTGAAACCTATCATCTTTTATATATACATATATTATAATATATATATATTATTGGTCTTTTCATAAACGCAATATATCTCAGTATATAGCGAAAATTGCAGTATATTTTATTTTAAGCTTATACATATATTATAATATATGTATATATATTATTGGTCTTTTCATAAACGCAATATATCTCAGTATATATAGCGAAAATCGCAGTATATTTTATTTTAAGTTTATTCATCATGTGAAATCAAGCTTATTCATAAACATTGAAGTTAAATCATATGAACTGTTTTATTTTTATAAAATTGTCAAAACTATATTGCATATTGCATATCCATCATGTTATGTTTTTGCAGTACATATTGCGTTTATGAATAACTCAAGGAAAGTTTCAAGTAAAAGACATTTAAGTTTAGCAAAAAATCTGTTATTCAAAAATGTTCTTTGAAGGTTTTTTTTTAAATATTAATTTTTAAATTTTCATTTACATATATATGTATATGTTTATAAAAACTATTATACAAAAAATATATGTATGTAAAGAAATATGATATATAAAAACTAGATATAAACACTTCATTCACAATATTAGATTCTATATTAGAACAAATAAACTACTAATATATCATTCATTTCGAAAAAAATAACTTTAAATTTTATTTACGAATCCTAATTACTAAACTTAATTTTTATGTAATTTGAGTTAATTCTTTCGTAGTGTTTCTAATTTTTACTTCAAGCATATTTGAATAAAATTTTATAAGAACCCGAAATATGAAATTATAACAAATCCAAAATACTACAATTTTACTTCTGCCTACATTATTTCGACTCTCAGTTTCTGTTCAAAATCAATAGATGGCTTAATTATTTGATTAAAAACTTTTCTATTACACAAACATACGAGTATAAATTAATTAAGCCCAAATAAAAGTTTATAATTGATAAATTTGATTGATAATTTTGCTCTTTGTCCAATGATGTTGTCATATTGTATAGTACAGATTTGCATACGCATGTTTTATTTATCAATAGAATTTTTTCAATATTTCACACATTTCGAATATACCTTTAAAATATTGTTAGGTATATGTAGCTTGGAACAATGTAACTCTCAAAATTAAATAAAAAATTCTAATTTCATATGTATCAGTAATAATATTAAAATATTATGATTATAAATATAATTAAGAATAAATAAACGCATAATCTACATAATATATAGGTACCAAGTATGTATGAGCACTTAGTGTTTTATAGGTTTTTACGTATTAATATAAGTATGTATTTATATTTCCCTTATAAAAAGAAGATAAGAGAAATGGCATCAAAATAACTTTTCAATTCAGCAATTAAATTAATTTTTTAAAAGACAATATTAACGTACTATAATTATTTAAATTAACAAAAATACAAATACCTATAGGTACATGTATATACTTACCTCCACATAATACGATATGTCTTTATTATATTTATATTAGGTACATAATATTTCATGTGTGTGTATATGTAATTATATGACTTCATCCAAACTTAAACAAAATAATTTATTCGTTATGTATAAAAATATCGCAAACAATAATAAATATGATGAAAAATTTCCATTTCTGCCAATATTTTTTCGTATTGCATTTTCTTTTTCTTACATTTTTGACATTTATTTCAAACTTCCCCTTTTTAAAGTAAATTATCAAAAAAAAAGAGTAAAAAATCATAACAATGAGAAAAAAAATTTAACAAAATTACATTAAAAAATATAAAAAATAAATAAAAATTCTAAAAATACTTAAAAAAAAAATTTTTTTCTTATAATTTTTAACACAAAACAGACACAAAAATACAACAAGACCGAATCTTTAAGAACTGACCATGGGCAATAACATTGACCCCGTATATATGATTCGTGTATATGAGTGTGTATATTAAGTTATAAAAGAGTGGTCGTTGGCCCGATTAACCGCCTTGCCGGTATCAAGTTAAAATATTTTTGTTTTTTATATTTTTATTTTACATTTTTTTTTTTAAGTTTTGTGTATTTTGGCCCGAAATGTTTATTTTGTAAAAAAAAAAAAAATAATCGCTGTATTTTTTTGTCTGCTATTTTCTTTATAATTCATTTTTTGTGTATTTTTGCGAAATCTTTGGAACTTAAAAGTCTCATATTTTTTTATATTTTGCATTTCTTTTTCGTTAACAAAATTCATTTTTTTATTTTTTTCTTTATTTTTTTATTCTTAATTTTATATATTTTTACTTATGCGAATTGTTTACTCAAAAATTCACACTTAACCATTAGCACTCTCTGCTTCTCTATAGTTGTATTTTATAAAATATTTAGCATTTTTTTTTTATTTTACTTTTCATTTATAAATATGCGTGCTGCTAAATAAGGAAAAATTTGTAAATAGAATTTTAAAGTTTAATTTGCGGTTTTGTTTCCCAGTAAGAATTTTTAAGAAAAATTTATTTAACAATGGTAAATAATGGTATAATGACGCATTTTGCCAATTTTTGTATAATTAAATTTTTAAAAAAAATTTAACATCACAATTCGTTGATGATGAAGCTTTTAATAGTTTTCTAACAAGGTACTACTTGACGAATTATAAATTATAATAAATAATTATACAGATTTTCTCACAAACTCAATCGTTTTCAATATGATTATTTGATAAAAATGGTGATCGACACAAAAAATTTAAAGCAAAAACATAATCTGTTAGGATTTTTTGAAAAATGATTATTGCCACCGAAATTTTCATTGTCAATTCTTTTAGGATTAAGGTGATCAGATGATTACAATAGATTTTCTATATGTACTCGGTTGATTCGCCTAGTAACTACTAGAAAATTCGCCTCGTTTGAAGTTGAAAAGCATTATCAGTTTTTGCAAATGGATCTTCAAAAATATATTCAAAAAATTTTTTTATTTTTAATACATTCATATAAACTTACTTATTTAGGTATGCACTTATTTTTATGCTACAAAATTACTATACAAAGCATAATTATTTTTCTGTTAATTTTTTTTTATTCGTTTTTATTTAAATTCCCATGAATAATTTTAAATTTTTACGATAATTGAAATTGTATTGTAACTAGAACTTGTCCATTTTGCGTAGAAGCAGGTGATTTCAGTTTAAGGGACTAAAAAGCCGTCATTATTAGTTACTTTTTGTAATTATTAAAAAAATAAAAAAATTTTAATCTTTTGTTTGGTCAATCATTTAATAAAATGGGACATTTCACATAATATTTAGTGAAATGTCCCATTTTATTAAATGATCATAAAATTACGAGAATTCATATTTATATATGTATGTATATTTTTTATGCAATGTATATTACTTTGAGCACTTAAATTAAAAGATACATGAAATTCCTAAACACTAGACAAAAATTGAATGATTAAAAATGCATGATAACCAAGCCCTTATCAGTTGTTTATTTTAGATTAAAGGATCATTGTTAATTGGATAAATGTCCGGCTTATAAGGTTTTAAATTGCATCATTTTAAAACAGGTTTTGATTTATTGAAAGGATTGTTCTAAACATTTTTAAAAATCCTGTTGTTTCCTTTTAGTTGCAAATTTACAAAATAAGAGCTTTGAATTGAAAGAAAAATGACAAATTTGTGAAATTCTTCGTTACTTTTGAGTAATCAGAAAAAAACTTCAAACAGAAATATCTTCCTAATAGTTTTATTTTAAATTAATAAAAGCGTATGTTTAGATGAAAAACTATTTTAATTTTTACATCTCCTCTTTTAATTTAAAAACGGTGCACCAAGGACCACATACATACTCAGCTACTACAGAAACATTTATATTTTCTATTGGAATAAATACATCTACAATGTCTTCGTTGTTTTCTGTTTCTTTTATTATACCTAGTTGATTGTAAGCGTTCCAGCCTGATCCATATATAATTCCGCAACTCATTTGAACTATAGTGTGACGAACTCCACATTTAATACTAACTGCACAACAGTCATTGATTTCATTTACATTTTTATCTTTGCAACAGTTGCAATCTATATCTACTATCTTTGGTAAAGGATAAAGAGTAGGATTCCTAGAAATGTTCTTTTCAGGATTTAAAACACTTGTCTTGTTACAGCAGATTCCCAACTGGCCATGAACATTACTACCCCAAATGTAAAGATCTCCGAAAGCAGATATAGCACCACTATGCCAACCTCCGGCAGAAATGTATATTATCTAGAAAAAAATCATTTAAGTCTTATATCAATCACAGTACAAAATGAATAAGTTTCTACTTTAATTCCTGCTAAAGCATCAACAATTGTTGGACAATCCACATTATCTAATTCGACATGACCCAGTTGTCCTCGTCTAGAACATGTTGAAAATATGTACATAATTATATTTTTGAATTATGTATTTATTTTCATAAGTATATTTACGATCCATTCCCCCAAGAATAAACGTCTCCGTTACTGTTTAATAGTAAAAAATGTTCAAGCCCAGATACTAAATACTTAATTTTCATATGACTTGGAAACTGATAAATCTTATCTGGCAAACAATAAACAGAACCATTGCTAGTAATGGCAATAAAAGCCGAAATACAACATGCTAAGTGCGTCACGGTGTCTAATTTACAAATTTGCTCACCAAAAATTGAACGCTTTTTTCCTGGATTTGTTATACGAAAGTTTACCTCATTCAATGACTTTTTCATCAAATCAAATTTTAACATCTTCTCACTTTTTAATAAAATTAAGCAAATTTTCTCGTTAGAACATATTTGTTTAATATCATCTTCGAGCTCTATTTTGGTAACCTGTTTTGAATTTCCATCAATAAAACCACAAATTAACAAAATTTTATCACAGGCAAATATGTTAAATGACCATAAGCAATTTATCAATACGTTTTTGTTTCCTTGCATGTGTGGAATTTCGAAAACTGAAAATATTAAAATATTTAATTTGTTTCTTTTATTCGCATATGATCAAAAAATCACCTGTTGGTTCAGTAGTTTTGTTAGTTGTGCAGCCAGGAAACTGCTGAAATCCATTAAAGCCGCAAAATTTTAATGACATTATGAAACTCTGCAAAATTATTTATTTCTTATTAACTAAATATGTAGAAATTTTTTAAGAACTGTCAGTTAGTTGCACAATTTGCTTGGTTCTAGTTCCTCAAGGCAACATTGATATCCTTTGAATCCCGGTTTTCGACGTATTTTAGAACTTGATTTCGAGTTTTTTTGGAAATTTTTAGCCAATTTATAATAGAATGGTAAGTAAACAATTTTCAAAAGGGAACCAATTAATCCAAAACAAAATTTTAAATTCTAAAAATTACATTTTTCCTTGTATAAAATTAATAACAAATATTTGTATCCATGCGACCAATTTAATTCTCAATTACCCAAACAAATAATGACAGTTTGACACTTCAAATTTTGCAGACAGTCAGCGATTGGCTGTCATTTTAAACAGAATTTCTCAAACATTTCAGACAATCATTGAGTTAGCGATGTACAATAATTCACTCCAAAACTTTAATAAATTAGAAACATATTGAAAACGAAGTGATTATTAAAACAATATCTTTGTGCCATTTTGAATCAACTGCTCAGAAAATTTATTTTGAATAGGAAAATTTTTGTTTTTTTCTTACAAAATATGATTTTCAAACGTTAGATTGAAAAAAATTAATAATAAGAATTGTTTTATATTATTTACTAAAAATTTCGTATTAATCTGTTTAATTCTTCTTATTATGATTCTGAGTATTAACACTTAACAAGCCGATAAAATATATCACCAATTTCGGAGTTAACAAAAAGGACAGTGGCATCTTTGTTACAGAATTGCCAAACTTCCAAAAAGGATAGAGGAATATTATTTTTACTTATAGAATTAGCATTGCTTTGAGATTTAAAAGCCATTTTTATGTTCATCAAATTTAAATAACCTACTTAAGGATAATTAATAATGTACTTGGTAAAAAAATTTTAAAATCTTACATACAGGGTCTGCTATCTTTATTGCGTAAAATACGTTCTAGTCCAGAAAAAGAAGCTCGAATATTACTACTTGGTTTAGATAATGCCGGAAAAACAACTCTTTTAAAACAACTAGCAAACGAAGAAGTTACACATGTAATTTAGAAAAATAAACATAAAATAAAGCTTTTTATGATTCCCGACTTTATTTTTAAAAGGTTACTCCAACAGCTGGGTTTAACATAAAGTCTGTTGCTGCAGATGGATTTAAACTAAATGTATGGGATATAGGAGGACAAGCTAAAATTCGTCCATATTGGAAAAATTATTTTGAAAATACAGATGTTTTAGTAATTATAATTAAATTTTGAAGTGTGCATATGATTTTGATTTTCGTGTTTTAGATTTATGTTATTGATTGTAGCGATAGAATAAGATTAAAAGAAACTGGTGATGAACTACTAGAAATAATAAATGATGAAAAGATGAAAGATGTTCCTTTACTTGTTTTTGCTAACAAACAAGATCTTCCAAATGCTATGACAGCTTCGGAAGTTGCAGAACATATTGGTCTAATTACCTTAGAAAATAAAACATGGCAAATTCAAGCTTGTTCAGCTGTTGACGGGACAGGTGTAAAGGTAATAACAATATAAATAATAAGTATTTTTAATTAAAATGTTTTCTTGCATTTTAGGAAGGAATGGATTGGGCATGCAAAAATATGAAAAAATAATCTTTTTTTTTTCTTTTTTATGTAAAATTCCTTACTCTCTAAATACTTGCAGAATTTAAAATTATATTGAAAATATGTTCACCTCAGCACTTTTAAATATAAAAAAGTATAACCCTTACTTTTATATTATAAATGTAAGGGTTTTAATTCATTTCTATTTATACTGAATAAAAACGGATACTTTAACTTTTGCATTTGAATTAAGTTTAAATTTACGATATTACAATAAAAGTACAAATAATTCAGTACATACTCGAATTCAGTACAAATTGTATTGCTGCAAAAATAAAACCTAACTGAATAAAAACTGATATCGTGAAAAAATACTACATATTACGTGTAAACACAAACCAATAATTTCATCTGATTCGTGTCTACGATAAATTTAGCAAATAAATTTTGTGTGAAAATATTTATGGCGAAATTTCAATAGCAAAATTTCTTTAAAATTTTCAGTTTCCACATCTATGGTAAAGCGATCAACGCTTTATCAACTTTATCGTAAAATTTCACACGAAGTGCTACACTAAAATAGTTCAATTTGCTTTCTCAACAAAAACTCCACAATTAATCCCAAAACTTTATCTTTTACGTATAATTTTACGATCAAAATAAAAATTTAAACAAATTTAACGGTATTTTATTAAGTTTTATTCAGTTTATATCAAAATATGAATCTTATACAAAAAGAATATATGTATGTATGTAAATCATGCCTATCACAATTGAATAAGAGATGTAATTGAAAAATTTACCACGAAAACGTATACCTTATAAAATTTAATTGACTATTTTACTATTATTCAAACATATGAAATGTAATGTATCATGTAAATTAAAATTGAATTTATAAATTTATTTTAATTGTATTGAGTATTTTTGAACATTATATTTTTATAACATTTATATATACATATAGTAACTCGATTTTACCTTCACGATTCAAATTTTGTTTTTTTTTGCGCCATAAAAATGTAAAATATAATTTTGTATACGTAAACAAATTTTAATTGAAAATGAGAGCAAATTACTAAAAATATTTTTTAACAAATTGTTTAAAAAATAGGATTTTTTTTTCAATGTGGTCTTTGATTAATTCTAAATTTGACATTATATACAAATTACTTAAATAATTAAGATATTCTCATTAATTTATATTTTAAAGTTCATTGTGAATATATTCTGTTGTTACTTTAGCTTCTCCTTCATGAAATCCTGTACAATCATACGGATATTTCGCCTAAAAAGAAAACAAAAAATAAAATACATAGTTTCAAATTATTTTATTTATATTATATATTTGTAATATTATGTGTATATTTCTCAGATGAAATATAGTGCTCATAATAATTATTGAAGCTAAACGCACGGTTTAGCTAACAAAGACCGTAGTAAAGGTCATATTTTACTAATTTTTATAAGTTCTCGTAATCATTAATTGTCTTTTTAAGTGAGAAGGTTTCTATACCTTAGAAGTATAATAAAGTTGGGTCAAACCAATGGTTTGTAAAGTAGCAATTTTCCCTTGAATAAGTGAAAATACTGATCTATGTTTACCTATTGCACTATTAAAATTAATTTCATTCATATACAAAATTACTTCAAGAATTGCATATATTTGGGATGAATGATTTATGCAGTTTTTGAAATAAAGTAAAAATAAATTTAAGAGTTAATTGCGTGATTTAAGAAAAATAATTATATTTTTTAATGCCATGGAATTTATCGTTAGCCCTCTGCGTTTATATAAATTAGAAAAACCCTACAGTTTCGGAAATGTAAGGTAATCTTTAGTAAAGAAAAAATTCTCTTTTGGGATTGTGGAATACCTTAATACCTTAATTGTACGTTGATTACATTAATTGTGCTTCTTAATTAGCATATTTCAAACTTTTGCTAAAAATTCTTTAACTTAACCAATATTTGCATTATTAATAAATAATATTTCATTAATTAATGTTTTCAATTTTCATTAATTACCTGACAATTATAAGGTTCATTAATAACACCAAATAGATTCCAAAACGGTGTTCCTGTTTCTGTACTTACAAACCATGCTGCAGTCATACTACCAACTTTTGTTATACCAGATTTAATACCAGGTAAACCTAATTTTTCATTTGGATCATGTGAATTTAATTCACATAAAACATATTTGTCACATTGTGGATTTTCTGTAGCGAAACGATAAGCTCGATGTACTTTTAATACAGGTTCAATAACCTAAAAAATAAATAAAGAATATAAAAATAAAGTAAAGAGAATACAAAAACATAATATGTACATATAATATGTGAAAAACTATATATATGAACGTATGTGTTTATAAATATATATTTATATAAATGTATGAAAACAGGCTTGCAAAAATCATTGAAGAGAAAAAATATAGAACAAGTTAATGTGCAATATATTGTAAGTATAATGTGTAATAAAAAAATGTTAAAATAACCATGAAATATGAAATACTTACGCCTTTTGGCATAAATTTTTTATAACAATTAAATATAACATTTATATTTTTATATATAATTTTCTTTTATAACATTTTGAATGAATCATCTTCGTATTAATATAGCAATTGAAACTATTAAAAAATGAAAATTTGAGTAAAATACTATACGAATACCTACATATATATAGTTTTTACTAATAATTGACATTTACTTTAAAATATGTACAAGAGTATGTGCACAAAATTTTTTACATTATAGAAAATTATTTTGTTTGAAAAATATTTACTAATGATTCTTAATTTCCAACTCATTAAATTTTCGTACCGAGCCCGAAAGTGCCAGAAAATTAACAAACAACATGTAAAAATTCAATTTGACGTTACACAAAACTTTGTTTTTAAATTTACAGTTGCAATTTCTGCTTCCAATTACTGTTAACGGTACTAATGACGTAAATAATTCCCAGTTGTTACTGGATGACGTCAATAGTCAAATACTGCCGTATTTTTTTAAAAACTAATTGTAATACGCATAATTTATAAAACGTAATAATAATATCGTAAAATAATATATAGTAATATTGTTATAAATTAAACAACTTCTATGTAGCTCTAACCACACTATACATATGTAAAAAAAACACAATCAGTATATTTGAGAATACACTAAAATTTAAGTAAATATGTACAAGTATTTAAAAAATTTTAAACTAAACCGGCAAATTTTCATCCGGTAAATTAAATTTTTAATTAACGCCACATATTATTTACTAACTATGAAAGTTTTATAGTGCTATCAAATAGAAATTATACATTTGCCTATAGTTAAGGTACATGAATCTATATATTTGACTTATACATGCATATTATTAATTTATAACATATTTTTATTATTCATACATAGTGTTTCATTCAAAATTACTGAAATTATTATTGTCTCCCCTAGTGAATAATCGTTAAATACTAGTATACTGTATAAGTAAATCACGAATCCATACGTTTATCTATACATCGGCATTGATGCTAATTAAATAAACGTTATTAGTTCATTACATATTATAGTTGAGCTTATACAAATTGGTTATGATACCTATGGGTAAAGTACAGTACATAATATAAGCAATCTTGAACTAGTGAAAAAATGTGAAAATCATAGATCGAAAAAAAATTCAGTTATTATTTAACAATTTAATTTTTTTGATTAATAAATTTTTATATCCCACTTAATTTATACATTTTTGTTTTCAATCTTTTTTTTTGGAATCTTCAAGAATTTTTGGTTTTTTTTTTATTCAAACAATTTAACCTATATTTTCTTTTTAAACTGGTCGATATTTAAAATTTAAATATTTTGTAGAAATTTTCATTTCAACATTTATTTGTGTATAATTTGTAACAGTTTTATAATTATTCCACCAATCCCCCCAAAAAAATAAAGATTAAAAAAAGAAGAAGGTGAACCAAAATTTTTTTTTCAATTCAAATTGATTTTTTTTTTACAAAATAATATTTATGAAGAAAAAACAAAAAATCATGTGCGGTTTTAGAAAGAAGAATTTTATTATTTGTAGGCACACAATGTTACGCTTATTTTCTTACTTATACAAATGCAAATAAAGTCAAAGCTAAAATCAGTAACAATAATGTGAATTACTATTCCAAAGAAGAAGATAAAAAAAATTAAAAAAAAAAAAATTCGATAAGAATGAACATCACCACCAAAAGAAAGTTATAAAATTCAATTTCACCCAAATTATAAAAATAAAGAAAAAAAAATTGGGACCAACTTTTTGTAATAAAAATTCAAAAAAAAAAAAAACAAAAAAACATGAACAAAAGAGAAATATGTAAAAAAAAATTAATTTAGAGTTCTTAATCACTTCTTTTTATACATATCTGTGACAACAAGGCAAAACTTCCTAAAATTTAATTGTCAAAGTTTAAATAAAATTCTGTAGCTCAATTGGTAGAGCATTCGCCTAGAAAGCGATAGGTTACTGATTCGAGTCCGGTTCGAGGAGAAAATTTTTTAATTTTTCTGTCTTTAACTCGTTCCTTTGATTAAGTCATCCATCTGTTCTGCACTTATATGAAGAAATTTCCATTAAGTTAATATTATTAGTGTAATAGGCACATTACTTATTAATTAAACAACTAGACGTTGTATTAGAATTCAAAATAAAACTCCTTTAAAAAACTGCATCAAAAAATTTTTTTAAAGAAACTTTATGATTTCGAAAATTTTGTTAAATTAAACAAAAAATTACAAAATCCCTGGCGTTGTAAATATCTTAAAGACATTCGGACACAATGTCACATGATCAAAAATGTTCAATGAAACCTCATTAAAGCTTTCGCCATTGTCACTCCGTCTTTCACATATTCGTATGTTTTCAAAAGATCGGAATAAATACAAAGTGCTAAAATAGCACTTCTTTCTCAACAAATTTACTTTTATGAAACCAAAATAAATTTAGCTGCATATCATTGTACATTGATAAAGTTACTTTTTATTTTTAACTAAAATAGAGAATAAATAGAGCTGACCGTGTCAACTCTGTGAATATATACTGTGATGTGCGAAAAAATATGCCATAATTGACTATGGGACAGACTATGACTTTAAGCTGCCGTATTACCCTACTAATTTATACGAAATTTCAGTATTGTGTTTTTCAAAATTTCAATATTTTCTATGAGAAACCAGTCAAGAAATTTCAATGATTTTTATCACATATAACAGCCCTAACAATACACTTATTTTGACAAGATTTCTATATGATAATTTCAATTACTTCTGAGTTAATGCCAAATGACTTTTAGAGTTTTATGGGTGCTACCAGAAAGAGTTAAGCAATTTCAACGACATTTATCCAATACATTGGTCCTATTAATATATTTACTTGTGCATAGTTTCTAAGATATAGTCAAATAAATTTTTAAGTCGTATGGCAGCTACCCGAACCAGTACCAAGATCATGTCCAATTTAAATAGGGTTCTGGAACTTATTACAATAAATCATTTGTGAAAATTTATTCAATTAGTTTTTGAGTCACGTTGGGACGGACGGACGGAAGAAAATTGCTAATGTTCACTTATGTATGTATTTTATTTAAATATTCGAATTTTTGGATAAAAAAAAAATTTATTGACTGAAAATTTGTAAGTAATGAAAATAATCAAATCTTAAACTTAAAGTAGTTTTGCCTGATAGCCACAGAGACATCTATATACATAAATACATGTGTATAATTATGTTGTGCGTATGATTGTATTAAATGAACAAATTTATATAAAATATTTATGTGCATATTTTACCTATAACACCTTCTTTCTTTTCTTTATTTTCTTATGAATCATTTTAAAGAAATTCAAAACATATACACACAATATATTATTATATAAACTTACCTCTAAATTTAACGTATCAGTTAATTTATCACTTAATTCTGTTGAATTGAATTTCTGTAAAAGACCTCTAGATTGACCTAATTTTAAAAGTTCTTTTGTATATGAAACGGCTGGTTTAACATAATCTCTTGTATCAACTTTAATACTAAGATGAGTTTTTGCTATATGATTTAATAGCGATGTAATAGTTTCACTTGGACGATTTGGATCAAAATATGTTGTTTTTGGATAACCTTGTGATTTAAGAAAACCATTTAGCATTATTTGAGCTGTTTGGAAATACCTAAAATTTTTAGAAATTAAAAATAGTATTGATTTTGTATGAAACTGATTATTTCATTGAATTTTAATATTTTAAAATTTTTAAATGAAAACAAAAAATTAAAATTTTATCCATTGAAATTAAAACTAAAAAAATTTTAACAATTCTTGCAAACAATCTTATTAAATATTTCATTTTTAAAACAAATTTAATCTACCATTATTGAAAAGCAATAAATGAATGAGATTTCATGTAATAATTCGAAATTAAATGGTAGATGTTATACATGGCATTCTCAATTAGAATCTGCCATTCGAATTTATAGTTACCATATTTAAAAACTGTAACTTTCAACAGTGATTTTTTCTAAAATTGCCACATTGCATTGAAAGTATAACAAAACCAATTTTCCAAGAATAGAACTCAAATCTATTTTGTATGAAAATTTCGCATTTAATCATATACATATTTAGATAGGTATGTGTATATGTATTGATATATAGTATATAATATATAAATATTATGTACATAATTTCTAATATGAGTACGTGTTTTGTTAATATACATAAAATTGAACCAGTTCTTATCTATATTTTTAGATATAATAAATGGAAAAATAAAAAAGGTCTTTAATAAAAATTAATATACGTTTTCAGAAAATAAAAGCGACAATGTTTCAGGTATTTTTATAATAAGTATTTTCGCAGTGAAGAAAATTATTTTAAAACTGTTCGATATTAAATATAGAATTAAATTTACCTTTGATAAACTTCTGGCTCTGCAATATAATTTGCCCAATCAGCTAAATATAAGGTAGCAGCTTTAATCCATCTTCTTCTAAATGATTGATTATTTAAGGATTCAAATAATTTATTATAATCTAATCTACCGTCACGTCCAGTAAAACCCTGAAAATAATTTTTTGAGTAGTTAATATAACACCTTAACATTTCACAGATTTAATATAATTTGAATAATATTTTTAAATATGTGTTCGTCTTATTGCGTATGTAAATTGTATTTAAAAGTTATTGATATACTAATATGAGAAATAAAAACAAATCGATCGAACTTAGCAAAAAATTTAAAAATGAGTCGTATACTGTAAATGAACAAGCTTAAAACCTTTAAGTTACATCAGCTGATGAAATACATATATTTCAATGATGTGTGCATGGAACTATGTACCTTAAATATTGTATGAATTCCAGATTTTTGCCATAATGCATTAGCTAACTCTGAATTACTAAAATGATCCCATAAAACATGAATTTGTTCTAAAAATGGTGGTAAAACCCATGCATGATCTTTATGTTTCTCTTGAGTTTGTTGTCCTTCTGGTCCATTAAATGAATTAATTGCTTGAAATATCATTGGTAATAATGTCATAAAATTATTATCATTATTAGAATTTTGATTATTCTTTTGAGATTTTGTTGGACCTTGATTTGAATTTGGTTGATTATTCATAAATGCAGATGCTATTTGAATAATTGATTCTAATCCAATACCAGAATCTTCTTGTTCTTGTTGACTTTTATTATTAATATTACGTTTTTCTCTTACATTATTATTTCTATTATTATTATTATTATTATTGTTATTATTATCGGATGAAGTTGTAAACATTTCAATAATATTTCCAATTAATGAAGGATCAAATCCAACTGAATTAGTAGAACTTCTACCATTTTTATTATTATTATTATTTGCTGCATTTAATCCAGCAATAATACTACCAATGCCTGATAAAATTGCAGCACTAGAATCTTGTCCGCCACCACTAGAAGATTTTGCTCCACTACCATTTGCTTGCATAAATGCTCCAATTAAAGAGGCAGCAAGTCCAGCACCACCACCATTCATATTTAAACCATTACTACCAGAATTTCCATTTTGTTGACTTAATGCATCTGTTATAAATGCTGATGCCATATCAATAAATGGATTAGAATCATCATCATCATTACCATCACGATTTGGACGTTGTGTTGTATGACCAAATGATATATTTATCCATAAAAGTGATAAAATAAGTAAGTGTTTCACTAACATTTTTAAAAAACTATTATTTTTATTTTTATAATTTTTATTTTATAAATTATTTATATAACAAAAAAATCAATTTGAAAGAACTTTAAACTCTGCTTTTTTTTCTCACTATTTATTTATATGTATCCAATATTCTTATAAATGTATGCAAGTATGTGTTTATTTCGTTACTTTATTTAACAAAAACGACTTAAATATGTGTCAAGTAACGGTATATCTCTCCGTCTTATGACGTTCTTAAAAAAAAAAAGTAACTTCTCTTTTTATTAAAATGAAATTTTAATTTTAATTACACACAACAAAATTATTTATTTTAAAAATTAGAATATTTTTAGGGTCCGAATTAAAATTTATTTTAAATTTAGAATAATTTCACAAAATTATAAAATATTAATATGTATGTATATTTAAGTGACTAATAAATTTAATTTCCGATATTAAAATATTTTTACTCAACAACGTCCACCTTTCTCCAATGTCTTTCTTCTTCTGACTCAATAAAATAAGTAAGAGAATTTTATTTATCTTTTATTTTTTTTTTCTTAAGTTTGAGTTAGACTTAAAATACTCTATAAAATTAAACGTAATTTACAATACATAAAAACGGAGGTAAGAATTTTTCAATTAACATGTTTGTATGTAGCTATTACCAAAAGAAAGTATATAATCAAAATTTAAAAATTCAGGTAAATTGTACACTATAAGTAAAAAGTGGTAAACTTAAATTTTTTAAACCTATGGTAAAGCTGAATTATTTAAGTGAAATATTAAATTTAATTGAAATTTAATATAAATTTCATATTTTACTACAAATTTTCATTATGAGACAATATTGTCAATTATTATTTGCAAAATATTTTAAATATTAGTAGATTTATTCATATTAAACCATTAAACCTAATGATTCAATATGAATAAATAATCTAATTAGTTAATTTGAAATTACCTTAACACCTAATGACCTATGTTTCAATGGAAATGTATTTCAGAAATCAACTTCTTTTATATAAAAATGTTTTATAAAAAAAATATTTATTTATGTATTTTACGAAACCATTTGATTTTTTGTTGACATACCTGGGTTATGTCAGGCTCACGAGTAGAATAACCAACTCTTGTGCAAAATCAAATATCCTATATGATATTACTATGTTATTTTAGTATCTACTTGTTTGTTTAGTACCTATTTGTTTGTTTAGTATATTTTCCTTTCTAAAATTAACAATATATTTAAAAAAAAATTTAATGCAGAAAATTAAAAAAATATTAATATAGATTATACTACCATGCTTTTTAGTCCCTTATTTTCACCAGTTTATTTAATTTTATATTACGCCATTGTACTAGACTATTACAAAATTTCTTCAATAAAATAATAAACAATAATTTCAAAATTATCAAAGGAATTCTTTTTATTACCGAATGAGTTATTCAAATATCAATTTATTAACATTTTGTAAGATTTAGTGACTTACGTGATTTTATTTTATATTGAATAAGTTTTGTAACTTTTCAATCAGTCTGTACAGAAAAAGTTTACTATATATTGCATTTTATATAGTCTGACTCAACGAATATAAATGCAAAAGAGAATTAATGATTAGATACTGGTATACAAATTTCTTTTTTTTTTTTCTTAGCTAAACCAACCTTCGTCTATATACGACGATGGTAATTTTCTTTATTTCTTTTCTTTTGAACTTCATTTCTTTGTAAGCTGTTATTTGTATAATAATATGTATCTTATATATTTAGGTATATTAAGTATATAAATATCGAAATATCGTAAAATTTTTACGATATTTTATTATAAGATAAAAATATTCACTTCTTTATTATAGAATAAAATTTCAAAATTAATAAAAAATAAATGTTACGTGAATTTTGTAAGAGTTGAGTGTTTACTCAAATGTTTTGATTGTCAATTTTTTAATTAAAAAAATTGTGTCGGTTTTAAAAATTTTTAAAAATCTTTTTTAAATTCTTATTTGTCATTTTATTTTAATGACATTTCAATTTAAATGTGGAGTAAAACAAATGATTTAAGCGAGAAACTTCAAAATTTATAGTGAACACACACTTATTTAGTTCAATATTCTTTTGTCAGTAATAACTTGTTATTTTTGTTATTTAAGTTAAAAAAACATTTCTGTTATAAAAATTTTTTCTAACATTATTTATTTACCTTTTCATTAATTATTTGTATATAGTATTATGTACATATTCAAATTATAAAAAAAGTATATTTATTTTTTTTTTTTTTTAAATGTCAATTTCAGTTTTTTATTCTTTCAAATTATTCCGTTTATTTATTCATAATCGAATATTAAATCTGTGCCTTTGGTATTTTTCTCAATCCATTCATCAAAACGTTCCAATAAATCTCCTTTAATATAATTTTTCCAATCACCAATTTGTCCTTTACGTATAAATTTTATTTGTTCACAATTTCCATTATCCGAACATTCAATACCATTTTGAATAATTGGATTATTAATAATTGGATCCAAATTAACAGCTGGATTTGATTGCATTTTATCAAATTTTAAATGTTCACACATTCTTTCCATATCAGAATTACTTAATTTATAATCGATTTCTAAAAATTTAGCACATTCATGAATTATTTCTGGTAAATTTCTTTTCATATCTTCATATTTTAAAAATAAAATATTTTTATCGTAACGTTTCTCCCAAAATGGTAATATATGTGACCAATATGATCCAATTGGTGATGTTTCATCAATAAATAATTCACAAAAATCTTCGAATGGTGCATATAAACCATGTACCAATTTGCAATAATGATAGAATGATACACATAAATCTTTTGGATTTCTTGCCGTATAAACAATCTAAAAAAAACAGAAATTATAATAAGCGTTCTTAATAATATTACTTTAATAAATAAATTAAGTATACTATTTCTTTAATAAAAAAGTTTAGATTTTGTTAAAAGAACAATTTCTTTATAAATAAATAAAATTTACCTTCGGTTTTATTTCTTTTAATTGTACTGGTAGAAGTTGAGATGGTAAATGTGATCTAGCAAATCTTGGTCGTGGCATATTTTTTACACATTCTACCGTGTTTCCTATAGAAGATCTTTAAATAAATGGAATATGTATATACATATTTATAAAATATATATCCAAATTCACATATAGGAAACACAATACTTACGCAACCCATTCATGATGATCTTCTCCAAATATTGCCGTTAGTTCTAATAACGGTGAACGAATTTGTTGAATTTGTTTAGCTCCTTCAAAATCTAAACCATTTCCTAATAACCAAATCATTTCTTGTGCCCATGTTGATCCTGAAAAATTAAAAAAAAGAACGTATTGGTGATTGGATGCATAACTCTAAAAATTCAAACTAAAACATTGTTACCAAGGATTTATAAAAAAATAACAATTGAATATTATTAATAGGGCACAAAATATATTCAAGTAGAAATCTATGAAAAACTAATTCAATAGAAAAGTATATTGAGAATATTAAAAAACAAAATTATTAAACACTGAAGCGCACTTCCCAGTGACGTACTAATAATTTTGGAAAACAACTATATTAGGCTTTATCATAAACGTAGTACATAGCGAAAAATGCGCAATATTTTTATTCATAAACAAATATTGCTAACCTAATTTCTTCATAATCATGACTAATATTGCGCAATATAGTAAAATTTGCATGAGTAGCGCAGTTAAATCATATGAGCTTTTTTAATTTTATGGAATACTGTAGTTAAAAATGTAATACACTTTCATCGTGCTATGTTTCTGCAGTATTGCTTTAGTATTGTGTTTATGAAAATCCGCATTCATTATTTAATAGAATTTCGTTCTATTGAAAATTTAAATATAAACAAAAATAAAATTAATTCCGCTCTGCCTTTTCATTTGACACAATCTATACAGTTTTTCATTTAATCGAAAAATTTGAGTCATATACAAAATTAATCTGTTGACAATGTTCTGTTGATGGCATATTTTTGCTGAATAATTCAAAGATTATTAAAATTTACAAAAAAATTTGTATTATGGCTGAAGTTTCATATAATATTAGAACTATGCCGTAAAAAAAAGCCTAATACTTGTGAAGAATGAATACATTTTTTAATATTTATTAATTGATTAAAATATTATTTTCAAATTTTTTTATTTTATGACTGGCATTTCTTTTTAATATTAATATAAAAATCAAGTTTTTAGCTAAAAATTTTTGTGTAATATTTTATTTGACAACGCACTTATATCGCTTTATTGATAAAAAAAAAAGAAAAACAAAATAATTTTTAATACCGTTATGTCTATTTGAACATATAACAGTTAACAAATAATAAAATTTAAATCCCAAAAAATTATTTTTTTAGTAGATCTTTTTATTAAATCCAATATTGTACTTAACTATTCCATAAAATCCCTTTAGGAATCATTCCATTTTCATAAATTTTCATAAATTAAGAAAGAAAAATTTTTAAATTACCAGTTCTTGGATATGATATCAACCATACATCATCCGAATGAATAGGTAAATCCAAAATTGATTGTCCAATATCAATGTATTTTCGTGGTAAAATTACTTTTCCTGGATTAACTTCAATAAAACAATTTTGAACTGGAAAAAAATTATACAATTTTTCTGCAACATGTTGATCAACATTTTTATATGAAAATTTCATTTTTAATATTTTTAATTTTTTTCTTCTTTTTGCGAAATATTTTCTTATAATAATATTTTCAATATTAATTAAATTTATAATTTGTTTTCAAATTAAAATTAAACAAATTTAATTTGATTTTGTTAAATATAAATAAAATTCGAATATAAATAAAAGAGAAAAATTTATATTGGAAAAACAACGTAAAAAAAATTACAAATTTCACCGAAATGATAAAAATACTTCATTTATGTCCAAGAAACAAAATTCAACTAAAATGCAATCCGAAGGAGATATTTTTCGCAAATTAAAATTTTTAAAAACAACTAAGACTTCTATTAAATATATTGCTATGTTAAAATAAAATTCAAATGTTTACAGAGTGTCTAATCATAATTTTTATACTAAAAATTAATAGGTATATACTAAAAAATTTTTCAGCCTTATAACACTAAGCGCATTGAAGAGCGCTCTTTCTTTCTATAATACAATATCCAAATAGTGGTTCGAATTACTATTGCGCCAACCGAATAATAGCCGATTATTTCATGTTATTGTGCCATAAATTTTGTCTATTCGTGATTTATGAATAATTTTAATATGTCCTAATTGGGACCATGAAATTATTTATTATAAAATACAATTAAAAAATCATCTACGATATTATATTTTTATTTATTCAAAACTTTAGAATCTAAATTAAATAATTGCTGCATTAATACTTTAATTTTTCATGAAATTATAAAAAACAATATTATTTTTCTATATTAAAATTAATTTTCATTTTCAGAACTTTGAAATTTTAATCACAAAAAATTTATTTAAATTATAACATTACGTACGAGTATGTATATCACGCTTCTACTACAAAATTTATAGATTCCATAATTAGTATAATATGAAACACCTTGTATATTCAATCTTAGATTTCCTAACTATTGAAATCAAAAAATCTACCATCCATAGCATAGATTGCAGCATTGCATATATCAGATTTAGAGAAAGTGATTTTTATATACAAATAAAATTATAAAGAAAAATAATATAATAAGAAAAATAATAATAAAAAAAAAAGAAAATAAATAAGAAAAAATAAAAATAAAACACAACAGTCTTGAGTTATATTTTACGCTAACATTAATTTCAAAAAAAAATATTATTAGACTTTAGTTGCATCTAACTGGTTTCGAAATATCGAAAATAAAACAGGTATATTTGCCATTTATACAAAAATTTATCCTAAATCTAATATAACGGCTTTTTTTTTTTTTAATAAATGCCTTGTTAATGTTGGTATGTTGAATTTCTTAACAGCGTCATATAAAATATTGCACAAAAAAACAATCTATGCATATAGTTATTGGTTAATACTAACTATACTTAGTTGCGCTTAAAATCGTAACAAGCAATTCAATTTATTTCTTATTCATTACCTTATTCGTTATTTAAAGTAAAAAATTAGGTTAAAATTTTTATAAGATTAGAAATAATTGAAAATATTATTTATTTGAAAAAAAAAAAAACAAATTCTCCTTAATCATATTATTTTATATGAAAGAAATGATAATATGAAATTTTTGAATAAAATTTTATATAGTTATACATAGACTGATATTAGTGGGGCTGTAATATTAAGCAAACGACTATTAAAATTAAAAAAATAATGGTAAAATATCAAAACATAAAGTCTTTACTATAACAAATTAAAAAATGTGTTTAGTGCAATTAATGCATCTAATAAAAGAATTATAAAAGCTATGAATCGCTCTCCTTCCTTAAAATCTTAAAAATAAACCAAAGCTAATTATTTGGGTTAAATAGATTCACATGAATTATTGTATACATATTATAAATATTAGAGTTTATGTAATATGAATGCTTAGATTTATGTTTATAGTACAATAATTTATTTTCCAATTATGAATGCTAGTTTATGTAAGTAGTAAAATTATTTTACCAATTATTTTAAATTACGTATACAATTGATTTTTTTCTTTACTTAGCTTACATTTTGAATATCTTAAAATGAACTATTTAAATTTTAATTTTTTATAGAACTTTTAATCATAAAAAAAATATTTCAATATCCATTAATTATTTCGTATAAATAAATTATCAATTTCATATCGAATTGCTTATTTACTTAATACAAAATAATTTTACTATCGAAACTATTAATTCTAATTTATCAATATTTCTATGTAATAATGGGTATTAACGAATTAAATGAATTAATTATGAAAAATGTTCAATTTTCAATAAAAAACATAATGCATAAAAATAAAGAAAAATAATAACATTTATTGTAAATATATATAATACCAATTACGCATTCTGATATCGTAAAAAACTAGTTAACACTTTATTTGTAAACATTTTTTTGTTACAATTACATTGCAAAAATGTAAGATGACTAACTACAATTGTGAAAAGTAAACATTTTGTAGAAAAACATTGAATCATATGAACACTAGTTCCATATAAAAGCCTAAAGGAAATAAAAAACAAAAAATTATTTCAAGAAAAATAAATTAATTGTAATCATTTGAAATTATGTATATACATATATACTTGAACATATGTATTATCTATCTGATATTTATGTTATATATAACAATGCATTAACAATATTATATATAAAAGCAAAATTAATAATGTTTATTTATTATTGCAATGCACTACGTTTGATATGTATATATATATACGTATATTAAATCAATTATTAATTATGCAGCAATACAAAATAATATTGATGTCTTACTTTTTCTTGCAGCAATGAACTTGAAAAATTCTCGTGATCTATACATACATCATTTGGTTTAAATTTAATTATTGTACTACAAATGTATTGGGGTGTTCTTATACTATTATTGGAACAAAAGCAATTTTTTGGTAAATGTACTCAAAAACAAGTAAAAACGTTTCAGTCGGTATAAACCGATTGAATTATACCCTGCACCTTTCATTATTGTGTAGCAATTACTCGAACCTCTGAAATCATTCAATAGAAACTTCACGGACATGTCTGATCTATAATCGGACACACAACTGCCAAGTTTCATGAATCTGACTTTATTATTTTTCCAAATATTAAGAATAAGCTTTTAGACTTGTATGGGATCTACTTGAACCTGTTAAGCAATTCCACCAAAACTTCAGAAATATATGTGACCTATAACTCGACATACAACTGACAAGTTTCATGAATCTGACTTTATTATATTTCCAAATATTTAAAATTAGCTTTTGGAGTTGTATGGCAAGTACCCGAACCTGTTAAGCAATTCCACTAAAACTTCACAAATATATCTGATCTATAATCGGACACACAACTGCCAAGTTTCATGAATCTGACTTTATTATTTTTCCAAATATGTAAAATAAGCTTTTGGAGTTTTATGGCAAGTACCTGAACCTGTCAAGCAATTCCATCAAAACTTCAGAAATATATCTGATCTATAATCGGACACACAACTGCCAAGTTTCATGAATCTGACTTTATTATTTTTCCAAATATTTAAAATAAGCTTTTAGACTTGTATGGGAGCTACTCGAACCTGTAGAGCAATTCCACCAAAACTTCAGAAATACATTTGAGTCATAATTGGACACATGACTGCCCAGTTTCATGAATCTGACTTTATTATTTTTCCAAATATTTAAAATTAGCTTCTGGAGTTGTATGGCAGGTACCCGAACCTGTCAAGCGATTCCTCTAAAACTTCAGAAATATATTTGACCTATAATTGGACACATGACTGCCAAGTTTCATGAATCTGACTTTATTATTTTGTCGAATATAAAAAATTTGCTATTGGAGTTGTATGGCAGCCACCCGAACCGGTGCAGCTATCCCATTATAATTTTTAGAGCATGTGTAGAATATAATTGGACACATGTATACAAAATTTTATATTTATAGCTTTATTAGTTTTTGAAATATTTAAAATAAACTCTTGGAGTTGTATGGCAGCTACCCGAACCCGTTGTCCGATTTAGTCCAATAACAATAGGGTTCGTCCTTGGCACAAAAGAAAAAACTTGTGAAAATTTGGTGTCGATTGCATTATTCGTTTTTGAGTTATCGTGCGATCGGACGGACGGACGGACGGACGGACGGACGGACGGACGGACGGACGGACGGACGGACGGACGGACGGACGGACGGACGGACGGACGGACGGACGGACATGTCTAAATCGACGCAGAATTTTACGCTGAGCAAGAATATATATATATGTCCATACCGCAGATGACTCCTTCAAGTAGTTACAAACTCCATACCAAAGTTAATATACCCTTCACGAAGTGCAGGGTATAATAATCTATTTGCACAATTATTTATTTTAGTAACACTAAAAATTTGACCTATCACCAATATACCAAATTGTTACTTTTTATTTTAAATTACAATTACAATATCTTAAATGTTAAATTTATTAAATACAGTAATTAATATTGTACATTCGAATTAAAATATTTTCTAACGTGTGCATGTGTGTTTACATTTAATTTACGTAGTGTAGGTATTTAGAAAACTGATATACATACATACATTGGGTTTAACCAATTTTAAATTTAATAATCATTCAACAAAAGCTTAAAATTTCAAAAAAAATTAATAGCTTCCTTTTATATTTTTTTAGAGAGGATTTAGAATACACACAACTTGTATGATTTAGAAAGTTTAAATTTTTACTTTTCTTTGGAAAAAGAAAAATTAATAAATGAAAAAAATCAATTAATGGATTAGTTTTTTTTTAATTTTCCTTCGTTTTTCGAAAAATTATTAATTTCAATAATTAAACATGTTTTTTCTATATTAAGAAAATATCCTTTATTTAAATATATTAAAAAAAAATACTCATTCAATAATTAAGTACAAAAATGTAGTACAACTAAAATTATGTACATTATCCAACATTATACAAAAAGAAAAATATAATAGTAATAATAATGTCTGCTTGAATTATTATTATGAATTTATACTTTTGGTTTTTTTGTTGAATGACCACCTTCCATAGACATTCGACAACGAGCATGAACTTCATCCGCCATTAATGTACATTCACTATTACGCTTTCTCGGTGGAGTTATTTTCTCTGGGGATTTTTGTTTCAAACATTCAACGTCATTAAAAACTACTTGTGCCCCACCAGCAGCAGTTGGAATAACATTTCCCTTGTATAATTTTGTTTCTATTTCACCATCTGTATCAGCTTCTTGAGATATCAAGCAATATTTGGATAATTTGGGGTTTGTTATGTCTTTTGCATCAGTAAGTTTTGTAACAAATTTTTTATTTTTAAGGTAAGGCTGCAATATTGTCCCAAGCGGTACTGGGTGCGGTGAACGATGTTCCAACCATTTTTCTCCAGTTGATTTTGATCTTCTATGGCGTAAATTCGCAACAGGTACTCCCTACAAAAAAAATTAAAAATTTATATAAACTCATAATTTTATCTCTTTAAATTTGTTGTTATTGTATACCTTAGTTGTTGAATAAATTGCTTGACGAGAACGTATTTCAGATGGAACTACGTTTTTTACTACAGTTAAATCTTCGGTGCTACGTGATCTTCTTACGTTTGGTAATTCTGCATCTCGAGAAGCTTTCATTATTGTATTGATTTGTTCAAATTTTTTTTCGTCTAATTTAATTCGTTCCTCTAATTCTGAACGCTGTTTGCTCATTTTGATTTCTAATTCACTTTTCATTTTATCTTTTTCAACGGCCAATTTCGATGTAAATTTCTTTCTTTGCTTTTGCTTTTCCATCTCTTTTCGGTCAAGTTCAAATTCTTTATCATTTAGCATTCTTTGAAGTTCTTTTATTTTATCATCTTTTTGGCGCATTTTTATGTTTAAATCATCTAAAGAACTTTCATATACAATAATTTTATTTTCCATAGAACGAGTTTTGTGTCTTTCTGTTTGGTAAGCAGCTTTAGCAGCCGCTAACTCAGTTCGTAGTGATATGTTTTCCTTTTCCATTTCAAATAATGTCATTCTGAATCTATTACATCTATTTTCAAAATCTCCTATTAATAACTTCCTTTTTTGAATTCGTCGTTCTAAATGTTTCATAAGATCTGTAATAACATTTTCCATTTCCGGTGAATCAATTTTGAAGTCAGGAAAGTTTGGTCCTAAATTGTAAACCAACCCAATATCGGTATCTAATTTACGTGCTTCTGCGAGACCTATTGAGTTAAGATTTTCGACGGCGGTCTTGAATATTTTGTTGGCCTTTCTTCGTCCTGGTGTTAAGCCAAAATCTGTTTTCATTGGTGTATTTCTTGTTATTTGAACTTCTTGTGACATTTCAGCAAACTTCATCACTTGCTGGAATAAGTAAATATTAAAATTAAAACTTCATAAAAAAAAATAAATTACCGAATTTTCGTCAAAATCTTCAGCTCTGGGATTAATACACACTATCATAGATATAAGACCTTCTCCTTCAAAAAAATTTTTGAACAAATGTGTGAGTTTTGAATCTCTATAAGGTATTTTCCTGTTAGCATTATTCAGTTGATTTTCTCTTAGGTATTCCATGCAAGTTCTCAAAGTCATTAGAGAGTTATTTATATTTCCAGCTTCTCTTAATCGTTGACCGGTGTTTTTTGTTCGGTTGGTACGTTCACTTCCTGCTAAATCAACTAAAGATAATTGACTTACAGTTATTACACTTTTATCACGCATTATATCTTCTCCTTGACTATCAACTGGTGCCTGAACTAACCTAATGGTAAATACAGAGTGACTTCTACTTGATTCAGCATTTAATATGGTATGGCCCATTCGTTTACGTTTCTGACCCGTTTGAAAAATTTCTAAAGCTTCTTCCATTGATTTGATTTCAACCTCCGTCACTCCGTGAACAAACATATTATGATTTGCATCTTCTCTAACAATCTTACTTTGAAGGGTTCTAAAATTAAAGAATTATATAAAATAACAATCACAAAAAAATAAAAACGACTGCAATTTTTGAGTTTACCTTTGAATTCCAGTTTCTTCTAATAGATCAAAAACACTGTTGTTATATATTTCGACATATGTAATAAACACTGCATACATATTGTCTTCATCCAAACCATCTATAGGTTTTGCTTCGGTTGAAGCTTTGGATGCTATTTCAGGATCAGAATCTTTTCGTTTTGGCTTAGCAAAACGAGAATTCATTTCCGCTTGACGCTCCAGTAAAGCATCTGCGTCAGAAAGAATTTCGAAGCCATTCAAACGATCTGGTTTGAAGACAAATTTCTTTGTTTGATAATCGGATATTGTTTTGAATAATGCATCTAAACATCTTGGCATAATTCCTTGCTCTTTTGTATCGCCTGTCATGGTAAATGTTTTGCCGCTACCAGTAACACCATAAGTAAATAAAAGGCTATTTTTACCACGAACCAAATTTTCTACTAATGGTCTAGCAACTTTCTCATACACTGCCCGTTGTCCAGAATTTTCTTGGAAAACATACTTGAAGATATATTGCATTTCCTTGCAATTTAATTTGTAGTTTACCGCGATTTCAGGGGGAGAGAGAATTACTGTATTGAATTAATTACAATATATAAGTTCATGTGTATATAATATATAGTAACAATAATTGTACCCGTATTGAAATCCTTTACTTTAACACATTTCATGTCAGCTTCGGAAAGCAAAGGTCGCAATCTGCAAAATACTTGCACTGGTTGTTTAGGTGATTCGTTCGCTTTTTTCAATTTTACTCTATAAAATAAAAATACTATATTATAATTAATTATATTAATTTGAATTTTACAAATTACCTTTCCATGTTATCTATTAAAAAACAATACTTTTAAATAATACTATCGTAAGAGCTGATTTTGGTTTTATTTTCGGCACCTATAGAAAAAAATCGGTTAAAAATTTCAAACTTTAATTGTCAAATTGTCAAAATCAGGCTGGCCAGCTTTATTAAAGAACTTTGAACAACAACCTTGTTTATTGGGTTTTAGTAGTCAATAATAACATTTTATATAGCCTGTAAATAGTTTCAAACATGACATACTCTTTTATGCAAATTTATCTTGAACAGAATTGTTTAAAAAACTATGAACTAGCAAAAACGTCAGTATGTATAAGTATAATTAGTTAGTAGGTATAAGACATTTTTTTTAACCTTTATTGAAAAAAATGTATTTTTGTGTTAGATTTTCTTTTGAAATTTACAGCTGTATATTATAAATAATACTACTATAACACCAAAATAAAGGTAGTTGCGCCAATAAAAATTAAAATGCAACATAATCTAAAATCAAATATCATAAGGCAAACTAACCAAGGATTGTCAAAAAAAATAAAAAAACAATAGCCTATTTCCTACAAATTTTGAACTTTCACAGAATTACAAACAAAAAGGGACTGCCTTTTGCAATGAAGTAACAAACACTTACTGGATCATAAATTTTCAATAGAATATTTCAGAATTCAATAAAATATTTATTCATACACGGTTCAAAAAATTTATCAAATTGAACCAGCCAGAAAAATTAAACAAAAACTATTTTACTTAAGTTGCACATTCAACTTTCAAAATTGTTGTGAAATATATCATACATCAGGGATATGCAGTTGACTTTCAGTCAAAGTGTTCTGTTGGAATTCTTAAAACGTTAAGATTCAAAATGTTTTGCAAGATCGGCAAATTGTTTAAAATATGAAAAGATGTCAGGTTTTCAAAAATTTAAAAATTAAAGATTATATAACGCCCTACATTGTTGAGGTCAACAAAATTCCGAACTATATAAAATTGTGTTTACACTCGACATCAAGTTCTTTCAACGATAACTACAAAATTTAAAACTGCAAAGTATTTTTGAGAAAATTTTGACATTGAGAAAATTAATTCTCATTTATTAAAGTTCTCAGAATGTTAAAATATACCTAAAATGTAGGATTTTTAAATTATTCGTAAGTTGTTAAACTACAGTTTAAAAATCTTTTAAACACTCGTTCCGTCTAAATTTATTAACAAAACTGATCAACTTATGAAAGTTCTATGAATTTCAAATCCAAAGTTTTACTATCCATGTATTGTCAAACAAATTTTAAGAATGCATTTGGAAATATTTTGACATAAAATGTCGGAAATACATGTTTATATACAAGTACAGGCATCTTAGTTAGCAGTGTCGTTTGACATTTATTTCAGAAAAACATTTTGGTATACCAACTTATTTAATCATAAAACCAGTGATGGTTACATAATATATTTTCTTCTGTTTGTCAGCGAATATGCCAAATATGAGAAATTTCCTATTCTTTTTGTTGTTGCTGGAAAATTGTACGAGTATATCTTATAGTTTGGTAATGCTGAATTAAATGTCAAAATAGTTTCGTTCAAAGAAAATTTTATACAATTTTTATTACAATTTCTGATTGGAAATTTTTTTTTTAAATTTTAAAATATTTATCAATTTCGTAAATTTTTTATTTGTACCAAATCATAAATGTTAGAAATTAAATGAATTCAAGCACTTTTAGTGATTTGTGTAGCTCATACACAAATAAAATTTTCAATTCTCCGAATTCGTTATTATGCAAAATAAAGAGTACAAATCATGAACTGTGAGTATTTGAATTATTTTGAAAATAAAATTAGTCGCAATTTGTTAATGTAACCATATCAAATATTTAAAAATATCTATTTTAATAGTGTTGAACAATGTAAAAGGGCTATAGAAGGTTCACAACTAACTAAAGGTTTGAGAGACGAATTAGAAAGTTTGCCTAGAGAAATCAGACGTGAAATCGTAAAGAAAGTGCGAAACGGATGTGCTCCATTGTTTTTGGTATATTTTATCAACATTGCGTTATATTGATCCCCCACCTTGATTCCAATATTCACATAAAAACAGTAACTTTTGAAAAAATATGGAATATTTTAGTCGAATATTGTGCCTTAATATAAATTCTAGTAATCAATATTTAAATAAAATAATGATTTATTACTATTATTCTTTAGGTATGCAAGAGAGGTTGCGTAGAAATCGCGGAGTATTTAGTAACAGTTTGTGATGCTGATATTGAACAACGGGGACTTTACGAAGTTCCTGAAGATAGGTCATTTCATTTTGGGACACCTTTGTGGTGCGCTGCAGTTTCTGGAAAGCTGGCAATTGTAAAGTATTTGGTTAGCATTGGTTGCGATATTAATGCGCCATCGGATTCAGGTTCTACCCCAGGTAAAAATGCTTGGAATAATTTTTTTGTTGTAATTACTTATGATGTTATTTTAATATAGTTAGAAGCGCTTGTTTTATGACTCATATTGATATAGGTAAGTCAATATTTAATAAATGTTTCATAACTTGTTAGATATTCTTACGAAATCATAATTTGTTTTCAGTTGAATATTTAGTGGAAAATGGAGCTGATATTAGTAAGCCAAATATAAATGGTGGGACATGTTTAATAAACTCAGTGCAATCAGTGTCTCTATGCCAATTCTTGATTTCAAAAGGGGCAGATGTGAATGCCAAGGATATCCAAGATAAAACCGCTTTACATTACTCTATTCAAGAGCATAGGTAAAATTAAATAATATCAAAATATATGTAAAGACATTTTATCGTTATAAATTATAATATATAACATTCAAACTTGCAGATTAGAAACAACTAAACTGCTATTAGAAAAAGGAGCTGATCCGTTTGCCAAAAGTCGTTCAGGGGATGACGCATTGCAAACAGCATGTTTGAAAGGTGCTCATCGAATATTTGATTATCTTAAATCAAAACTACCTTATCCACTTGAAAGACTTGCTGATGCTCATGAGTTGATTGGATGTACATTTCTCGATGAACATAACGAAACACGCTTAGCCATTTTGCATTGGAGATTGGCACTTCATATGCGACATAGGGATGAAGATTTTATCGGTATTAGATTTCAATACACATTCAAATTTTAATTAAAGGCACATTTTTATTTTTAAGAAAAAAAACCTGTTATCCCATTACGTGCTGCTTATGGTTATGCTACTGAATTTAAAACCGCAGAGGAATTAAATAATATTTCAACAGACGTTGACGCTATGCGTATCCAAAGTTTGTTAATATGCGAAAGAATATTAGGAATTAGTCATAAAGATATGTTGTTTCGATTAATGTTTCGGTATAAATACGAATTTATTGAAAATTTTTCATTTTTTATTTATGAAATTTAATTCTAGTGGGGCGTCATATGCTGATGCGTTACGATTTCAAAGATGTATTGATCTCTGGCGTTTGACATTAGAAATTCGTATTGAAAGGTTTTCAATGCTATATTCTGATACATGTTTTACCGGTAAGATAGCTTTTTATTTAATTTTTCAAAATATTTCACGATTATTTTGCAGCCCAAGCCCTTGTACGTCTTATGTTAGATTTATTTTCTCGATATAATAATTTATCGCCAAATGATTTCAATGAACAAGAGTTGCCAACTTTTAGCGATGTACTAGCCGTTTTTTTATTATTAACAAATGATATAATGGAAGCACAGAAATTGCTTCAAATCAAGCCAGTTTTTCGTAAACAACAAGAAAATTTTGATCGTGTTCTTAAATGCATTACTCATTTAATATATTTATTAATTTGCATTGCTAATTCAAAAAGCGAAAAACAACTAGTTATTCAATCTGTTCATGCCATAAATAGGTAATTACGTAACAATGTTTTTTGTTTCAATGTTTGAATAAAAAAAAAACAAAATTGCAATTTTTAGACAAAAAATTAGAAGTGCATGCACAAGTGATTCTCTTTTACATTTATGTGTATCTCGTTTAAATGTGATAAAAAGCACGTATTTCACAGACGAAAATAATGTTAGAGTAAGTGGCTCATAATAAAATAATGTAGTATATTATACTTTATAAGTTTTTTTTTTAGAGTATATTCCCAAATTTTGATGTAGTCAAATTATTAGTAGAGACTGGGTCTGAAATTAATGCAAAAAACGAAGCCAAATCGACACCCTTACACGTAGCATCTTTGCCATACAATTATGAAAATGATGTAATTTTTAAATTTGCTTGAATTTCAAATAATTTTACACATACATAATTATGTACATAAAATTGAATGTTTTTATATAAAACTTTTTTCATACTTGTATTTTAGATTGTTTTATATCTTTTACAAAATGGAGCTGATCTTGATCAACCGAATAAATCAGATGAACGTCCAATTAATATGATAGCTAGCAATCCGCTCAATAAAATTCCATTAATGAATTTTATAAATTTAAAATGTCTTTCAGCAACAATAATCAATAAATATCGTATACCATATAGAAATCAAATACCAAAATGTTTAGACGATTTTGTTAAGCAGCACGAAGTTTAAAATATCTAGCACTTTCATTTTTTTTTTTTTTATAAATCATTATGATACAATTAAATATCAAATTAATAACGTCATTTAACATTACTAAATCATTATAATAATCTATATTTATTTTTTTAATATATTTATAAGTAACATTATAAACTTTAAAGACGTTTATTAAACATACATATATCGTTATATGCTCTGGTATATTTAAAAACTTTGAGAAAATAAAATTTGAAATTCAAAATATTTTAAAATGCTAATAAAGAGATTAATATAAAATTTAAAATGTTCATGAATATAGAAAAACCATATACATAATTATATTAACATTTAATATAAATTAATAAATTGTAATTTCTTTTTTTTTTTACTTTTGAATATAAAAATTAATTTTAAAATTTGTAACCGATCATGTGCTCTTTCGTTTTTGACTTATTTGTTAATTCTAAAATTTTAAATTATATATTATGAAAAAAATTTAATAATTAAAATTGACTGTTGTATATAATATATAAAAATTTTTAATAAATTATAATAAAAAAATAATTTTTAGTTTTCTTATTTCTAAATTTTGTTTGATCTTGCTTTAATCTTGCTTAAGAGCACCTGAATTATTTGCCTGTATTGGATACATGCAAAAACCATTTTCGATTCTCACTTTACTTTATATTTCCTAAAATCGTCTCGTTATTGTTACTTTTAAAAATATTTTTAGGCTCAACTGATATTTGTCTTGAAAATTTTATTTTGAATAGTTACACAGGAGGAATCAAGTGATGAACTAAGATCTTTGGTATTCCGCAATTGGGTACAACTACAGTATTTAATTACAAAAACTTAAACGTTCAAGTAATTATTTAGCAGATCATCGCAATAGCTGCATTTTTTTTTTTAATTAAAATCAAAAATTTACTAATAGAAATTTAAATTCGTTTATTGTGTTTTTTTTTATAAAAATATTTTGATCGATACTAAATTTTTTATGTACATGCATACATACATATATGTACGTAATGATTCAGTCATAAATTTTTACAAAAATATTATACTTTATATTACATATAATTTATTATTTAAAATATCATACATATAAAATAAGCCCATATATAATAAATATGAACTAATTGGTTGATGTTGAATATCTACAATACTATTTCTTGCATAACTATCAATAATATGAATTTTCCATCCCATATTTGCATGCGTAAAACTGTTATAATAAACTGTATCTGGCCATGAAGAATTCGGTGTGATTTCTAAAATAGCTGGCTCACCATCTTCACAATGATATTGTAAAGTTCGATTGAATTTTTTGAAAGTTGGGAAACGATCATCAAAACGCCTATCATAACCTGCTGGATATGATCCCAAACATAATGGCCCAGCTAAAAATATTTTTTCGTTAAATATTTATTCGTATTGAATATAATGTAGGTATGTATATATATATATAAAATTTAGTTCAAATTTATTTGGATTCTGACCAGCTTTTGGTTTTGGACGACCTCTTCGTGTAAATTCCACCCCAGCTAAAACGCGTATTTCACTTTGTTTAGCATCTGAAAGTCGATCGAATCCGCCTCGGGGCTCATCAGTTATAACTAAAGGATGATAGTATTCTGGTGAATGAGGATTATTACCGCCTCGAACCTAAATTTAAATCGATAGTTTTATACCATAAAATTTAAAAAGTTTAAAATAAATTTTTTCAAGTTTATACATATGTATGTACAGTAAAAAATTTTATTTGAAACTTACTTTAAACGCATATGTTAATCCCCTTCTTAGCCACAATTCTGGAATTAAATATCCATTGATATACCATGCCAAACCATTAGAAACATGACCTTAAATAAAATTCATAGATTTATAAATTTTTATATTAAATGTGGTTGCACAATTTCTACCTGTCAATCCTTGGTATCCTCTTTTTCCGGCAGATGGACCCAAAATTGCAGTAAATGATCGAATTGCTCTAAAGTATTTTTTTACAAAGCTCATATTATTGTTTACTTTTTTTGTTTTATGTTAATTATTTCATATTATAGAACAAATATAAACTTGCCTGTCTGTTATATGTACTTGATCCCAAATTTCTAGTGTTTCTTTGGGTTCACTTTTTGTAAAAGCAAAACAGTCATTTACTGGTTCACTTGTATTAAAATGAATTTTTACATCACCTTTCGGGAAAATATCATGATAAGCTGGTTCATTATTTGAATCTAGTTCTCCTAAGGCCCAAACAATATACATATCTCGATCAAGACGAAATTCTTTATCCCCACTATCAGCTAAAAAATTTTTTTTAAATTACTTCACTTAATTAGAACAACTACTTATATGCTTAATAACAAATTGTTGTAAATTTAAAATTTCGTTATTTCATTCTGAAACATACGTGAGATTAAAGTTCTTCTAAAATTTATTGTATTAATTCCATTTTCCCTTTTATATGTATTTAATTGAAAACTATCATAGCCTCCAACAGCATCATCCCGACAAACGCCTTTGTTTTGACCTAAAACTTGAACACACTAAAAGTACATATAAACGGTTGGTGAGATAAATTTAAAAATGATTAAAATATTTGCTCTACTTTACCGGAGCCAATGAGGTTATATTATAATCAGTTGCGTATCCTCGTATACTGTCAATATATGCAACGACAACATCTGCTCCAATCATTTGACTTCGACTTTCAGATCCAGAGATACCAAAAGACATATAATCATTTTCATTAATTTGTCCTGATAATTGTATCGTTATTTGAGGCCCAAAAACTTCCCATGAAACATGAAAATCTTTATGAAGTTGACGACAGTTAGGCAGTGCATCTATATGCGGATATACTTTTGCTAATGACGGTGGAACATTTAAACCATCTATAATAATAATAGAACCAAAATTTTCGTTTGTCTCCAAATCAAATACACTAATCCAATCTATATCAAAAATAGTTGTTTCACCAGGAAGTTCTAAAATAATGGTTTGTTTTTCATATTTTCCAAGTGGATCCAAACTAAAAATATAACATGTATATATATTAATTGTAATCACCTATAATCAATTTACAAAGAATTATTAAAGTTCTTACTATCCCAATTCATTGGGAATCTTATTTCCTTTACTCGATGGTTGCGGTCCGACACCAGTCCAAAAATGTGCTCTTTTACCATTACCATCATAATTAAAATCGGTAATACGAATTGTTTTTGAATCTAAAATCTCAATTTCACTACTACTAACATTATGGCTACGTTTCGACAAGGTACCAATTCTTTGTGGCATTGGAGGCTCAAATTCATCCGGTATATAAATATCACCAAAATTATTTTGACTATTTAAATCATAAATTGCTAACCATTTGATTTCGGTAATTTTCTTTTTATCGGGCAGTGATATTGTGAATTCTTTATTAAAATAACGTTCTAAAATATTTGTTCTAAAAAGAGTTTTGTGCATTATTGTATACATATATGTATATATATATATATTTATTTGTCATATTACTTTCCATATTCGTCAGGAACAATAAAACCTTGCGGTCCAGGTCTATTAGATGCTCCTGCCCAAAAAAAAGTATCAGCACCGTTTCCATCATAATTAAAATTTGATAACAGAAATTTATATTCATTTACAGCGTATACTTCACCAGAAACCTTTGAATTTATAAAAAGAAAATTAAAATAATTGCAAATTTTGATAATTAAATATTCAAGTACCTGATGATGATAAGAATTTAATTTCCCAATTAGTTTTCCTTGATATGGTCCATCATCTTCACGAGCAGATTCTGTAATTTATTTTAATGTGTTAGGTGAATGTGATAGAAAATTTGTAATTTGCACATTTTTTGAAAAAAAAAATATTATTATAAAAATGCAATATGAAATAAAATTTAATAAAAGTTAAGATTCAGTATTATATTTATTAAGTGCATGCATCATATGGGATTCAAAGGTTTTAAAAATGAATTTCATTATATTATGCTCTACTCTTCACTCATGTTTATCTTATTTATTTCTACAGTGGCCTACTTGCAAAAGTGACATTTCGAGTAAACATTGCGACTAAAATATAATAGACAAAAACGAACTTAAGTCAACATAGAGTGAAAAGAGGAATAACCTAAACAATTCGAAAATGTAAGACAATTCTTTAGGCCATTACAGCTCTATTGAACATAATAACTCATTTAGCAAAAATGTTAGATAGACAACTAATGTGCTGAGCACCACAAATAACAGTTCAGTTCTGCTTTCATAGTACATACTTTTCTTTTGGTTAACTAACGATCTATACTCATAAATAATAAATATTAAGGAATTAATTCAACCGATACCATATAGAGTTAGTTTTCGGATTTTAAGAATATCGAAGCGTAAATCTATATTGTCTGACTAATTTAATACTATTAATTTGAGGAATTACTCAAATTAATAGTATATGCTTTTCTGTAGATTCAACAGTACAAATCTATGTAAATATTTTAATATAATAATTTTTGTATATAATATGAATTGAACATACATATAGTGATTTATATACCAGTACATATACTATATAACTTTATTCAATACTCCAACATGATATTTATTATTAAAATGAAATAGCGTTAATGTTTTTATATAATTAAATATTATAAAAATTATTTTTTTTATGTTCTAATAATTTTACAACTTTATTATCGATAATTTACCATTGCTATATAGACATGCAAGGCACTTTCATTTTAAATTAATATTCCAACTGTTATACATATTAATATAACATAAATACAAACAGAAGTTTATAAATAAATATATTATCTCTATACATACATACAAATTATATATTTGTTAAATTGACTTTTAAAATACTGCAATTGTAATTACAAGTTATTGATTTTGATTCAAGCAGTATAATATTCTTATAATTTTGAAAATTTTTCAAAAATTTTTAGACTAACAAGAAAGTTTTCAAAACAAAATATTAGGCAAAAATAAATGCAGTATATCGCTATGTATAATGTAAACTGCAGTAAATTTATGTTTATAAACAAATATTGCTGACGTAGATTATCCACCAACATTGCTAGATAATGAACAATATAGTGAAATTGTTAGATATATGGGTAGCACAGTTAAATCTCATATGAACTGTTTTGATTTTATAGAATAATTATTAAAAATACATTCATGTTATGTTTTTGCAGTATTTCGTTTTACAGTGTTATTGTTTTGCATTAAGTATTGGCGTTTCTGAAAGTATCTATTATTTTAACTTCATTAAATTTTATATTATAAATAAAATTATAAAATTATTTTAATTTGTCGACCCACTTAATATAAATGTAGAGCAAAATTTTGTTCTAAATCGAATTAAAGAGCATATTATGTAAATTATAAAAGTATTTATACTAATAGCTTTATTTTGCTTTGCTCAAAAAATTTATGAGATTGTAAGTATAAATAATTTATAAGTAAGAATCATTTTATAGAGATTTAACTGTTTATATATTTATTTATTTACAAATAATACAAATCATTATCAATTTGTCATACAAATTATTGTGATTCACCCTATACTCAAACCTTTTTTGGTTTTTTCTCTTTATTTTTGTTTGATTGAAGCATTTTTTTTTTTTGTATACGTTAATTGAATGCTTAATCATTTTCTAACTATAATATTCTTTAATACAATTTTCTTATTCGAAAAAGTTCATTAAACTTAACATAAATAATGTTTAACTTGTATATACATATATATATATATATACATACATAAACATCCATAAGATTAATCCACACCGGAAATAATTGAACATCGGATTGAATTGAAAATTTTTGTTTTGTTTGTAGAAAAATGTAGTTAATTGTAAATATTTATTGGAGTTAAAAATTAAAAGAGTTGCTGTAAATAAATTGTAATCCCTATAGCACAAATTCACTTCGATCTAGAAAACTTCCATATACTTCCATTTCTAAAATTTTTAATATAAAATTCCTTACTTAAACATTTAAATCTTGCTAATAAATAACCCAAAATTTAAGAGTTAACTTTTTCCAATTTAATATAATAGTTTGGTATAAACCTCTGTTTTAACAATTTTGCTTTCGAAAATCGAAAATTTTCAATCAAATTTTTAAAATATTTAAAAAATCAAAGTATTTACGTTTATTAATTTTTATTTCGTATATTGTTATACAAACTATATATTTTAATTTAATCACGGATCTTCACTCGCAAAAGTGTAAAAGATCGTATATCGATTTATTTATACCTATATAATCAGAGCAAAACTTTGAAATTTCTTCACTATATTGCATAAAGTATTTGCTTTACAGAACGTAGTGTAAACAACAGCAATAAGGAAAATCAGTTTTGGTAAAATGCGTATGTAGCGTACAAAATTCTTATATTAGCAAAAATAAAATTATTCTATTTTTGCTAAAAAAGGATTTTTTCTTTTTATACACCTAAAAAAAAATTTTTAGTATAAAATATTTTTTGCCTGAACAAAATTTTAAAAATGACATTTAAAAAAATTTCATTTTATCAAATTTTTTTGTTGCACGTTCCCTATTAAATGTCAATTTGTAAATACAAAAAAAATATATATTTAAAAACATATTTCCGAACCTAAAAATTCTTAAATATTTCCGAAAATAAAAATTGTACGACTGTCAAATTTTTACGATAAATTTTATATCGAAAATTCCTTTATGTCATTTGCTAATTTGAGAAAATAAAATTTTTTTGCTTTGTTTTTTGCACTAATGAGTGGAAACCCTTAATAATGTATTTTAATAATTATTTTTAAGGTTAGAGTAATAAAAATTAAAATAAAATACAGAATATAATTTAGGTGTCATTTTATAATTAATCGAATTTCAAAGTATTTTTAATGCGTATTTATACGCAAAATATTTTTAATAAATATAATTAAATATTTTGAATAAAAATATTAACTATTTTGTCATCACATTATATAAGTCATAAATAATTTACTTCGTATATAAGTATGTATGTATAACAATAATAAATTTTTTGAATAAACTACAATAGTAAAATAACTAATTTAAATATATTCTATACTCCAATTATTCACATTCCAATATTTACATGAATAAATAGCATTCATTATGGCATTCATATTTAAATTAGGTTTAGTAGCTTAATATTATATATTTGGCAAGAAGTTAGTGTTTACTTTTATACTATTATAAAACATTCTTAAGAATAATGTAGGTTTATGTGTATAAAATAATCAAATCAAGTTTTCTTTATTTTAACGTAAAAAAAAAACTAAATAAAAAATGTTTCCTGTCTCGTGCACTGAAGTCTTTGGTTTTTAATATTTTCTTTCAATTGTTGCTTTTGTTTTTTAGCTTGCTTGTTGATTGTTTTCTGAACTAGTTTTATAAAAACAAATAAAATGACCATGAGGAGTTTATTCTTTAATACTTATAACTTTTATGAAAAATGTGCGTATGGGTGTGTGTGTATAGTGAATAGAATAATAAGAACAACAATAAAATAAAACAAAAAAAAAAATACTTTCTATTTCACTAAAAGCAAAAAAAAAAGAAAAGTAAAAATACTAAATTAAATTTTTCTCAACTATTACTTTCGTTTCCATTGTATTAACAAGTTCATTTCATTACTTACATACATACCTATATAAATATATATATTTAACTGTTAAAAGAGCTTTGCAATTAATATGAATCTTAATTCTCAAGTTAAATACCTAGCTTATCTTTTTCTAATAAGTTTTTCTTAACAATAAACTCATGAGAGAATCGAACTAGTGTCAACTTTATTAGTACGACAAAACAGCAAAATTTAAAATTTTTGTCCATAATAATTTCGGGTTTTTTTTTTCTTTCCTTTCAAAATTTTATTAAAACATCCTAATCTTGTTTAAGAATAACAATAAAGTACAATAATTTTTTGCTTACTGATTCAAAGATAAATGAGTCTATGACTAATGAAACAATATGCAGAAATTTATTGGATTTTCCAAATTAATGCGATTATCGACTCACATAAGATTGAAATTTCAATTAATTCCTCGAAGTCACCATTGGTGAGACAAGTGTACTCTTAATATACTTAATTAATTTGTTTCTCATTCAATAATATTATGTATGTGTGTATATATATGTATTCTACGTATGTGCATGCAAAATAAATTGGAAATGTTGCAAAAATGATTTGTTGGTAAGTTTATCTCTTATAGCTAAGACTATTCAAAAATTGGTGATTTTAAAAGATAGAAATGATTTTTTTTTGTCGCAACTTACCTGTACAGAAAAAACATGAAATTAATGTTATGGCAAAAAAACTTAACATTTTTAATTATTTCTTTTTTTTTTTGCAATTTTTAATTCGTAGGTACCTACTCTAGTTATTTTGAAACACTTTCTCTGAAATATTGCTTAATTTTATAGATATACACATATAAACGAATTGTATACATAAGTATAGATAATATTTTTCATGTCCAAATTTTTTTTACTTTTAATCTTAAATTAAATTGGTATTTGTTAATATTGGAATTAGTTGTTTTTTTTCAGATTTTTTTTTAATAAAATTTTAAAAAATTAACCATGTTTGTTTTTTATTTTTTTTTTTCTTTTATTTTATTATAGTAACATTATTTTAAATTAATTTTATATTAAAATTATTTCTTCGTAAAATTTATTTGCATTAAATACTTTGCGTTTGAACACCTCGTATGACAATCCACTCCGAACTAAAATTTAGCTTTGTTAAAATGTTCATACGAACTGAAAAATTAAAAAATTTTATCTACAAGAACAACAATGTTATTTTGTAAGCTTTTTAATGTGTCCAACCAAACCACGTTTAAGCACAGATTAGAAAAACTTTTCTTTTCTTTATTAATTTTTTTCTTTTTCTTTTATTCGCAAAATATGTATGTACATAATATTAAGAAACAATGTTGCCGTTGTTAAAAAAATTTTTTTTTTTTAATTTTAAATTTAACGTTAAATATTTGAGCATGTTATATATGTATATATGTATATATACATAGTATTTATTGCTTCATTAACATGTAATCAATAGTAAAAATAATATAAGTAACTAAACTAAGAAAAATCATCTTTTGCTTAAACTTTACAATTCCAAAGATAAAACCACTTGGCGTCGGCACTAAAAATGAGAGTATGTACATTTGTATGTAAGTACTCATTTTATTTTAATACTTTAGTATTTTTAAGCGTGCATTAGGGTATGTAGTTCTTACGATTATGAGTCTCAAAACTTTTTTTTTACCTTTCATGCATATTAACCTTTTCAATAACTTTTTAAAATTTTGGGCATCAAATAAAAATTTAATAGACATATTCTATACCAGATCTGGGAATTTTTTTTTATTCTCGGAGGTCATATTTAAAAAAAAACAAATCAAATTTAAATTCAGTCTTTCTTCGATTAATTAAAATAATCGACTACCTTAAATATCATTTAAAGAACTTTACGGTGAAAGGCGCGCTACAGGCTCTCCATCTCTGAATTTTTAATAATTATAATAAACCCATTTAATAGTTCATCCTTTAAAAATACATATAATTTTAACATCAATCCTCTAATCTTTATTCAATCTCTTATTTCAAATCAATCCTCAAATTTTTTTGACATGAGTCCTCAAATAAATTTAAAATTAAATCTATAATAAAAGTTTTTTGTTTTTTCTTTCTCGGACTTTCTTGGGTACTATTAGCGTTATAAATCAAATTTTTTTTTTATTTGAAAAAAGAATTTTTTTTTTTGGTTTAGGTCCAAAATTTTCTAAAAATGGTTTATAGAAAAATGTGAGTGTTAAATTACATACGTATATGTACATATAAGCATATGTAATATAACTATTTGGAATATGGTAAGTAGGGTAGTTATTTCATTTACAAATTTTTTGTTTGTTTCACATGGGCATTTTCGCTAATTCAGTTCTAACTTAAGTCCTTATAAATACATATATGTATAGCACGTCCGACAAATTCAAACTGTAACATAAAGCAAGTTCGAAAATGACAGTTTCGCTTAAAATTCTAAAAGTTTTATAACTAATAAAATAAGAAGCATAATAGAAATATGTTTGATATTGAAAAATTACTCGACTTACTAAAATGGTGTTAAAAGAATTTTGAGACTAAATTTAGAACTTTCAGTGCATGTTTCAATGAATTATCCAAAATCTCTTACTTATGTATAAGTTTGTTATGTCTCTTTTTGCTAACAAAATAGACTTAAGAACAGTTAAGATGCCCGCAAGGGGAAAAAAAATCAATATTTTATTTTCAAAGAAATGTTCTGTAATTACTTTCAAAAATCCTTTTTTGCATAATCTTTTTTCTGTTTTTTATTTTTTTGTGTTTTTTTTTTTTTTGGTTTTTCTTTTTTTCTTTTTTGAGGTTATGGAATTCTATAAAAAATATTTTGTTCTTGTGTTTGCCATCAAACTCTAGTAACATTTATTGCATCGTTATAACATCGTTTTGTGTTTCTTTCATTTTCAATTGATTTTCAGCAGGTAATTAAAAAGTTTTTTTTTTCAATTTATTTTTATTTTTTATTTTTTTTTTTTGTGTTTTTTAAGTAAATTTTATTTTTGTTTTTCATTAAAAAAAGTTTGCCACATTTTTTATGTGAAATCAAGGCTACATATATATTTTCTTATTTCTTATTTGAGTTATTTTTTTTTATAATTTTTATTTTTATCTTTTTTTATTTCTTGTTTTAGTCCTTGGAAATAAATAACTAAAATATGTTCAACATTGCATACTTAAGCCAAAATTATTTGATTAAAGCTTTTTGTTTCTTAAGTTATCTTTCCGACTTCCGAATCTGTTAAGATAACAAAGCAAATTTTAATTTGTATTTGTTTAGTTTTTTTATTTATTTTTTTTAATATAAAAGAGAAAATTTGTGTAACTTATAAAAATTTTGGCTCAAATACACATTGAATCCTTGCTTGTTTTTTTTTTATTAAGCCAGTATGTATATTATTTCTTTATGTTCAAATTTTTCTTCTAAAACAACTTCCAAATTAAATAAATCATCATAAAAATATGTGTTTAATTTTTTTTTTTCAATTTTATAAATATGGCAAAAATTTTTATATCAATTTTTATTAATTTTTTTTATTTTTTGTATTTGTTTTTTTTTTTTTTTATAAATTTTTATTCGATTCATAAACTATAAATTTGTATATTACTTAACACTGTAAACTAAAAATGAGAAACTAAAATAGAATTTTATTAGAAAAATATTAAATTTTGTTTTTTAAGCAAAATTATAATTATATTTTTATTCGTTCTTTCTTCTTTTTTTTTTCCCCTTTATTTATTATCTAATAAAAATTTTTTTATTTCGTTTTTAAATTAGCCAATTTGCAATATTCCTATAAAAAAAAAAATTGTCCATGAAATGAACATGGAAAAATTCCCAAAAATGTTTTTTATGTTGTTCATATTATTAAAGTTACCTTATTGTGTGTGTACTATGAAACAAAATAATTTTGAAGATTAAGCCATAATATATTGGATCATAACATTTCCTAAATTAAAAACTTGGAAGAACTTTGAATTTAAAAAAATAATAAACATTTAATAATGTTCTTAATACCAAGTTTATAAAAAAGTTTTCAATTTTAATATTTTTATCTAATTTTTTTCGATTAATTAAAAAATAAAAATTTTGGATCATTAATATATTTTTTAATATAATGTAAAAATGAAGTTTTCAATTAAAAAAAAAAAAAACACATTTTGAGTAGAAAATTCTGTACTTAAAATAATTAGTTCTCTTACAATAATACAAGATCTTAAAGTTTATATTTTAAATATAATAAATTTCATGGTGTAATGAAGGAGGAAGACTCATTTAAATGAAGATAAAAAATTTTTTTTTTTTTTTTTAATGAATCTATTCTTTGATACTCATATGTATGGATGTAATTTCCTGATTGTATGTAAAATTTTGGATTTTACAATCATGGGAGAGTTTTTAATCAAAATAAAATAATCTATACTTTTCTCATAACAATGTTTCTTATACAAATTTACAATTATTTACAATATTGTTGTTATGATCCATTTTTTCTTGTATGCATGTATAGAAAAAGAAAAAAATACAAAATTGTAACAAACTGGAATGTTAAAAGTCTAAATGAAAATAGATAACATTTTTAAAAACAAAAAAAAAAAAAATTATTATAAAAATAATTAAGTTAATTTTAACTGTTTTATTTTATATTTAATTTGCCCTCCTAATGTATTTGTTGATTTTATTTTAATACTATCTTCTCATCGTGATGCTCTTTCAAGTATAAAATTCTATTATGAAGATTTCTTTTTTTGCACTTAAATTAGAATTTAACATTACATCTTAAGTTTTATTAAAAAATAAAAGTATTTTATAAAAATTTCTGTGTATAAAGCAAATGCAAAAATTAAAAAAAAAATATTAAAGAAAAAAAAAATGAAATTGATTTGATGTAGCCACTTAAAAAAAATTTAATTAAAATCGGGTTAATTGCCAGATTAGCAAAATCTTTAAGTATAAAAACTGATTGCAAGTCTGGTAAATAAAGGTGTAAAACTACTCTACATTTTTTAACTGATTGTATGTATTTACATGATTTCGAAAGATTATTTTACATTTATATCGAAAAAATTAAAAACACAAACGAAAAATATGCTTAATTTTTAATTCATTTAATTTGCTGTTTTAAATCTTACATACAAAAAACAATTAACTTCAATAGATTAGTATAATTATTCAAATATTGTTTTTAAAATTTTTGTCAAAATATTAAATCCATAAAAAAAAATATTTATCTTTTACTTAAATGATTTTGTTGACCAGACTGTGTGTAGGTTGAAAACAAAAGCAAATTTAAAGTTATTTTTTTTATAACTTAAATTCTCGTAGAAAAATCAACAAATCAATAAACTAACTCAATATGCTAACTAAAAACTAATTCTATTGAAAATAAAAATTAATTCTATTGAAAATAAAAATTAATTTGATTAACATTTTTGGAAAATTTTCATTTAATGCTTTTTTATTATTATTTTTAATATGATGAAAATTGATTTGAAACAAGTACATTCATTTTTTTTTTTGTGTATAAAATAGAAAATAACAAAACAAAGTCCTTGTTCGTTTTTTGTTTAAATGTTTAATATTCTTGCATAACATATAATTAATATGCATGCATGTTTAAATATATTTATGCACGTATAATTATATATATATATATACATATATATATGTATATATGTGTACACGCTATATTATACGTATAATTTTTACCTATTTATCTATTTAAAAAATTAATATTAACTTAATTCCTCCTTTAAATCAAACATAATTTTAAGTATTAAACTTGTTTTTTTCTTGTTGTTACATAATTTTTATTTTATTTTTTTTTTGCTCTTATTATAAAATCAAATGTATAAACTATATTATTTATGTAGGTATATAATTCTTATGTTTGTTTTTAAAACAAATAATAAAAATTTAATATTGAATTTATAATAAACTATAAATTGAAAGGTTTTATAAATTTAAAATATCATTTTGAAAATATGATTTTACAAAACAAAAAAAAAATTTATATTTTTTAATTTTTTAGGGCAGCGGCAGGATAAAACCGTTTGAAGAAAAAGTACTGAAACAAAATGCAAATTTTTACATGTAAAAATAATAGTAGAATTATTTTTTTTTGTTGTATTTTATAGATTTTATTTTTATAAGTTATTTTTATTACAATGCTTTTCATATGAAAAAAAAAATCAGGCTCTAAAATATTCTAAATAATCATTTTTTATTTCCTTTTCAAATCATCTTATTATATTGTTTCTTATTATTGTTATTAGTTTTTTTTTGGTTTATGAAATTTTCTATTTATTAAATTTTCATTGATTCTGTTTTTGTATGAATGAAGCATAAAATCTATTCCCTTTTTTTAATGTTAGTGATAACTATTTATATATGAAATTTCGTTTTGCTTATTAACAATTTATAATTCTTTTTTATCTTGAAAATAATTAATTGAAAAATGTAAAATAAATTTCGATTAAATTATCTTTTTTGTTTTTGTAAAAAAAAAATTTTAAGCTTAAATAAACCAAAAAAAAAAAAAAGGATAGTAAAAAACTATAATAAAATTATATTTCTCGTTTTTTGTGTTTTGTTTTATTTTTTGTTTTTTTAAGGAATTTTTTAAATTTTTGTAAAAGTTTTATTAAATTTTTATTTATTTTTATATTATTTATTAAGGTTTGATTATTTTTATTATCATCTTTTTTTTTATTATTAATTTTATTTTTATTAAAAACAACTGTTAGCTAAAACTTATCTTGAAATATGAATAAATTATTTGTAGCTGCAACAGCAATAATATTTTCTAAAGGATGCCAGGCCGTATGCAATATTTTTTTATTAAAGTCCAAACAATCAACACTGATCTCATCTTTTTTACGTTTTCCACCAGTACAAACTTTACGAGGTTTTAATATTGTTTTCGGTTTAATAATATCCCTTGACGCTTCTAATGTTACATCTTTTTTAGTATTACGATCAAAAACTCTAAAGAAATTATTATAACTGCCAGTCATTATTGAAGTATCATTACCATTCCAACAGCATTCAAATTTATCAAAAATACAATCATTTTCATATAACGAACATAGTTTTGCTCTTAAATACTCATGAACCTAAAAAGAACATAAATATTTTAAAGATAGAAAGTTTATATTTTTTTTTAAATTTAATTAGATGGAAAAAAATTTGTATTTGAGAAAACTATTTGATATAATATATATTAAATATGTTCATAACTATATAAATTTCATATAAATTGAATTTAACAAAATTCTATTTAAAACATTCAAAATTTTTTGTAACCGTGAAAATTAAAACCTAATGGTTTAAAACTAAAATAATATGGACTGATGGATGAAGCAAAATTTCTTAATTTTTCAAAACTTGTGGTATAGTTACAGAGTCGTAAAACACTTCTATAAAAAAAATCTAAATTGCTGCAAAGCAAAATAGGTTTATAAATATTCAATAAAACGCGGCAATCGAATAATTTTAATTGTTACTTTTGAAAGTGTATATCATTTGTACTATCTTAAAAAAAAAAATCAAAATATTTTAATGCAGATCTTACCGGGTACGTTTCAATTGGTTTAGTTTCCATATGCAAATCCCATACTTTAATGCTTAAATAATCTCTAGAGATCATATAACGACCAGAATTACTTAATTTGACATCACTAATCGAACTAATTATTTCACTGAAAAAACTACGATTTGTTGGATTTTCTGGTTCTTCAAATTGTTTAGCATGACGATCACATAACGCCGATGATCTCATATCACATAAACGTATTGTGCCCTTACTACTTGAATATACAAAAATATTGCAATCATTTGGATGAAATTCAGCTGCTGTTATTACTTCAGTTAATTCTTCCATATTTGTTGGTTTTATATCAACAATATTAAAGCATTGATCGGTTATCTCTAAATTCCATAAATTAATGCGCAAATCATCGGCGGACAAATATGTTTCAAGATCTGAATTAACTGATATTGAATTAATATGATAAGTATGCGCATTAGCAAATATACGCCTAGGTGAAGCTTCAACCATTAACGCAATTTGCTTAATTGAAGGAACTCTTAAAGATGTTATATTATTTGGGTCTTTAATTAAACCGTTTTCTTCTTTTGTATTATAGCCTTCAAAAGCCTTATCACGTTCAGAAACTTTCCATAATTTTATAGTTTTATCGTTAGTTGATAATAAAAAGTGCGCCGGATTTTTCCGCCTAAGCCATCTTATTTTATTGATTTTTTCTTCTATTTCTAATGATTTTAAATAATCGAACTCCGGTTCATGCGATTGAAATGTTGAATAAACATTGTATTCTCCACGTTTTGGAATTGCTGTTTTTGAAGCTGGATCTCTCTGAAACGATATAACAATATAAAATCAATAATAATGATATAATTGAATTGATCATAATTGTATAGAAATATAATTTGGCATCATAATGTAAAAAATGAAAAATTTTCTAATTAAAATCGGCTTTTTAGTAATGTAATCATTTTCTAAATTTAAAACCCTTTTTTAACAAAAATAAAAATTGTTAATAATTTGAAACATACTGCATAACTTCAAAACAACAAACTTTGCTTTGGAACACATGTCAAAATAATTTACAATATGAACAAATCTTAAACTAAAAACGGTTTACTTAAATTTTTATTAGAATATAATTGTTATCAAATTTAGGAATATTTCTACTGATAAAGAATCAATTTCTTATCAAAAAACTAATATTTATTTTTAGAATTGTAAGTAACCATTAGTAGCAAATTTAATATTTGTACTGAGTGACATTTTATTGTGCAAACTACAATGCACTTAATAAGCAAAGTGCTTAAAATAAATCAATAAAGTTTATGTTCTACAAAAATTGTATTCTAATACTTTTATAAATAATATTTTAATTTAGTCTTATAAATACAGAAATTCTTTAGTCTTATAAGTAAAGAAATTCGTACATGTTACTTAAAATATAAAATTTTTCAAAATACTATTTCATAGAGTCTTTTTCTTGTGCTTTAAATTATCATTCTAATTGTTTTTAATTAATTATGTAGGTACTTACCTGGAAAATGACAACTCGTCCACCTTTATCTCCAGTTGCTAACAGTTCACCATCGTGATTATACTCTACACAAGATATGATATCAGCATCAGTCACATCATCATCTAAAGCCCCCTTAATTTGTGAGAAGCACCAGGACGTTTCGCCATTACCTTAAAAAAAAAATTAAATATAAAAGAAAAATGTATTAAAAAATCAAAACTAAAAATTTTTATTTACTTCGATATTTTTGTCTTAAATATAAATTGCAAACAATCATACGAAAATTATTGGGCCACGAAAATTTATGGTGTTAATCGTTGAAAAGTACTTATCATTTAATTGGGAATAAAATATTTTACTTGTGTTTTACTAAAATTAATTTAATAATAATGTAGGTAATTATGAAGATAAAATATTTTACGATAGCTTTCTATATCATTTTTTTTTGTTAACAAAATTATTTGGTAGCTATCTTATCACGTCATTATGTGGTTTATTGATGAGAATATAAAATAATAACTTTAGGGGTATTTAAATAAGCGAACAAATTTAATTAACATTGTTTTATGTTTATAAAGAATTTTCTAAATTCAAATACTTAATTGCTTTAATATTTAAGTTTTCAATTTTATTTAAGTTTAACATTTAAGTTTTTTAAAATTTAATATTAACGCAGTGCAATAAATTATTGAATAAATGTGATAAATAAATATTTAGTTACAAAACTCACAATAAAATTTTGACCATAATAGGTGAAGTTATTTTTATTGCATATTTTAAAAATTTTAAGTGATAAACTATGATTTAATTAAACTATGATGAAATGCCTACATAAATTATTTTGCATTAGAAAAACTACAGAATATACATATCAAAACATTTTGTTGTTTACAGAAACTTTTCTTTTTGTACAATTTATTTTAGGAATGTTTGCTAACAATTTTAAATTTTACATTAAATAATAAATATCGTTATAAAAATTAGAAATTCTATTGCTCCGATTTTAGTCAATCCCGATTGATTTATTTAATTCAATTGAATTTATTGAAATTAATGAATAAAAGTAGACATAACTACCCGAAAGTCTAGTAACATAGGAATAAACAATATAAAAATCATATAATTGATTTTATTTTAAAATAGAATAGCATAAAATAACAGCTGCAATAACATAAATTTTTCTGATGAATAAATCATTACTTTAACTACATTATTTTCCCATTTTCCACCCAAAAAAAAAAAAAAAAAAAAAAAAAAAGAAAAAGTACCTAGACTAGATGGTATACAAAGGTTGATATCTGCATTATATTTATACATTTCTTTTGAGAATTAGTTTTCAAACATAATTTGACATTTTTGGGTTATTCTATATATAGCATGCACTCTTAAAATCAATATAAAATTTTCTGTTTTTACATATTCATATATTTATTTAAGTATGTATGTAGGTATGTCTGATTTGTTAGTTCTATAATGTGATCCTAAATAGGCATTACTTCAAATTTTAATCTATCCGATGAATTCTCATGACTTGATTTACAACGTACATATTTAAAGTAAAATTGTTTTTGTTTCAATTATATTAAATTGCCAATTTCCAAACTAGACAGATTACAATTATTATTTTTTTGTTCAACATAAAATATACTTTAATTTAAAAAAAAAAAAATTGTACCAAAGCTTTTGTAATTACTACTTTAAATTCATAAGCATGCTATAATACTAATGCAAATTAATATATGTACATATACGTTATGTATATATGTATGTATGTACAGACAGGTAGACCTACCTAAATATAAACATGTAAGTATAGGTAGATGTATAACATATATGGATATATATATATATTTTTGTATGTATGTAGCTACTCTGGTATATGCATATGCTTATTACCTTCAAATTTATTAAAGGTAGCTAGGTAGGTATTTATATTTGAATTCTGATTGCGCTAATTACTTTAGATCAACGCTAAGTTATTTTATCAATATTATTTTACGCAATTCATCTATTATCTAAACACAATAATAAATTCTTGGTACCTACCTACCTAGGTATTAATATCTTATAATTTTATATAAAAAAAGCTTTTTCTTTTTTCAAAATAATTTTTGATTTACAAAATTTTCAAATACGAGCTCTAAACTGGACCGCATTGTTTTAAAATTTAAAAAACCTACTGAGTACCAACCTAGCTAGATATTAAGCTTATCATATTTGCAATACACATTTTGGTTTTAGTAAGTACGTAAATCTAAATTGAAATAATTGAATTCAAAATATATTTTTTATCTTCTTTCTATTCAATTTTCTGTAAGCGTGACTTTAATCAAGCTTTTTGTTTTTAAACTGAAAAATAAATAATATTGTATGCTTATAAATGCAAGTGTGCGTTTTTTCTTTTTTATTTTTTATCCACAAGCCACATATAAGTAGTGAGATTGTTTGCTGCCTATTTCATATTTTTTTCTAAAATTGAAACAAAATGAAATTAATGTAAAATAATGAAAAAAAAAAATTTTTTTTTTACTCTATCGTTGCTTTTTATATTTCCATCTGTAAGATTTCATATATTATATTTATATATTGAAATATATTATATATATATATATATATATATATATATATGCATGTGGATATGTATGACTATATTCATATTTATATGTATATATGGATATAATATAGCGATAAACATAAAAAAAAAACCACTTCATACCACTCACACTTTCAATGGCATAGAATTATTTTTTACGCGTGTTTTTTTATTAAGACTTTTCGAGATGAAAATTCATATTGAATTTTAATTGTAAATTGTTTCGGGACTTTACATAGAATTTATAATAGATTAAATATTGTAAATTTTTAATTTTTTTTTTTTAACTCACCGGCCATGTCAAATTAACTGTTCGCACACGGCAAAATTGAATCAGCGGCTCTCATAAATGCAAACATAAAAAGATTGAATTGAATTACTACTTGACGGTAGATATTTTTTTTTATTCTTTTTTCGCTTTTCTTCAAAATTTTTTACTTTTTTCTTTGCAAAAAAAAAATTTATATATAGATATATATACTGTATATATATGTAATTATATATTATCCTCCAACTTTTTGAATTGTAGTGTAAAAATTTTTTTTTCTTTTTTTTTTTAGAAGCACATATATTTGATTAAAAAGTAAAGATTTTATGCACTTTTATTTGATTTCTTATATTCGATTAAATAATAGACTATGCTAATTAAATGTAATAATTCTTTAACAATTTTTTGATTATTTTTTCAATAGAAATCTTGAAAATTTATTATAATTTTCACAAATAAAACAGAACATTTTTGACTTCTCACTCTTTTTTTGTCAAAACTCAAAATCCGAAAGTATATTTTTTTTCTTTTTTGTGATTCCGAAAGTCTAAATTATTCCGAAAATCCGAAATAAATTATGGCGTCCGCGCGGCATTTAAATGTCAGTGCTGCCTATTTTTAAATTAATGACAGCCGATGTCATGTATTTGAAATTTTGTTTTTTTTTTTATTAGAAAAATAAAAAGTGTTACCATATTAACAAAATTTAAAGCGACATCTATTAGAGTAAATAGCACAAATTTTTTGAATATGACAAATAAATTTCTCTAATGATTCTTTCTAGTATATAATTAAAAACAAAATAATATAATTAAATTTATACATACTTGTTTGCGGTTTATTCTTTGAACTATTCATGGCTGTATTGATCATATTTCCAATTTTTGTTAAACTTGATTGCCTCATAAATGTCCTTAATGAAAAAATAAGTAAGAGTTAATTAAAATTATTTTACTGAATAAAAAATAAAGAGTTAAATTTCAATATTTTTTAAGTACAACATAATGTATGTGTCTTATTTAGGACAAAATGAGGAAACTAAAGAATAAACTATGAAATTGGGAGTAAAGTCCAGTATTATTATTTTAATATGTAATTGAATTATTTTTTTTTACTTACTCACCTAGGAGGTAACGGTGGTGGTTCAGGTTCAAGGACAGGACTTTGGCGACCCCATCTTCCCATTGCTATAGAGTTTAATGTTTTTAACACTAAAAATTGAATGGAAAGAAAAAAAAAATAATATCATGATTATCAAAAACGCCCAGTTGAAATAAATTTGAATATAATTTTTTAAAATTAGAATTTTAAATAAAAAGAAAATTTCGAACCAAGCAGAAAATAATTTAAAACATAGGAAAGGCAAAAGAGAAGAAAATTTGTTTAGAATTTTTATATTACAATATTTTACATTTACCAATATAACATGTATGATATATACACATAGACAAACTTAATATTTAACAAATAAATTTGTTATACAATATAAATAGACAATAAATAATTTTGAGGAAAATAATAATATATAAAATGTATTATTAAGCACAAAATAATTGCAATTAATTACACAAATTGATTTTGTTAGTTTCCAAAACAATAATATTCCAAAAAACGAGTATACCATAACATAACAATAGACCATAGACAAAAGCTAATACTTGCGATAATGAGTTTTGTATCAGACTTCTTCATTAAAAATTTCACTATTTTTTATCACTAAGATACTTATGACATCTATATTTTGATAGAAAAATGTTAGTCAATATTAATTTCGATTATTTCTTTGAAATTTATTTTTGATTTTATGATTTAATCGATTTTTTATTTTTTCTTTTACATTTGAATTTAATAAAATTTTTTTCCAATAAAAAAATTTCAGTATTTTTTGTACTAAATTTTTTTTTTTGTTTATTTTTCAATTTTATTTTGATTAAAATTTTTTTTATAGATTTATTTTTGAAATTGCCATTTTTTTGATGAAAGCTTACAAAACAAACATTTTAATCATGAAAATTTTTTAACATTTTTTTTGCTAAAATTTAATTTCCCCTTCGAAAAACTTGAAAAAAATAAATACATAACAAAATGTTATTCATTTATAAAATATTAGCTATTATTATTGGCTTCATGTTATTGTGCGTACATTAAAATGCCTATAAATAATAAATAAAATAAAAATTAAAATCCATATTGAGTACCATTCATAGCAATCAAACCGGTTTATACTTAATATCAAAGTTTATAAATTAATTCATTGCTTAATTTATGCTTTTATAAAAATTTTCATATAGTATAGGAAAATAATAAGTTTTGACTTTAGAGGCGTTTTTATAAATAATAGTCATATTGACGTCAAAATAGAGCATAATTTTGTGACATTTATAAAACTCATCATTGATGGCAGAGTTTCCAATTACAATTTATATCAAATATTTACGACAATCGTTTGTCATTAAAGGAAATTTGCAATATTTAAATTAAAAAATAATTCTTCGGAACTTCAAAGTCATTAGATTGTTATAGGAAAACTAATTGTGTCGAAATCACTAGTATTTTTTGAGTTCCGCAAATGGAGAAAAATAGCAGCTTTCCAATTTTTACTACGAAACATTGTGTTTAAATATAAACAAGTTAAAATAAAAAATATCTTTATATAAAAATCAGACATAAAACTAGTTTCTTTTGCATGGAATATTTCTTTATGACTGACAAACGTTTTACGGTTCCTCTCATTTTTATCTATTTTCATTCTCTTTCAGTTGAATCTGAACGTTTTGCCAGAATTGTAAAACATAATTCATACTTCTCTTTTGAAATTGTTTTGATTCCATAACCGGTTTTGTTCGAATTTAGTCGTATTTTGCCAATTTTTCAATTATACACAACTTAAAATTAATTTATAAGCTTTAGTACTTGATACGCAGTTGAAATTGGAGATTTAATATCAATATTTTCTCTTTTCTAGTATGATAGCGTTTCGAGCTGTATAAAACACAGAAAGAATACATATGCAAAAGTTTTCACGTCCACATTATACTGTGATTCCGGTTGTAACTTTATATAATTAGTTGGTAAATAAACTGTTAAACTGTTGTGTGCGTACCCAGGCTTTATAAATTTTGTTTGATTTTCGTTTACATAGTGTAGCAGATAAATTTTTCGATAAAAATGTTGCAACTTGCAATAACTTTTTAGTTTTTTTTACGATTAAACTTGTGAGAGAAATGTGGGTGAGAAAAAAAGTGTGGGCAAGAAAATGGAGAAGTTTCACGACTTTATTTGAAATTTCAAATAAAAATGCTGAAATTTAAGCTAAAATTGATATTCGGCTACAAACAAAGTATTTAAATTACAAAACTTCTGAATGTTTACCCTTCTTATTCGAATTTGGCTCTTTTTTCTTAAATATTTGACTCATTAATTTTTTAATAGTGACCATCCTGTTATAGTAGCACAGCACGATTCATTTTAGAAGAGAATTATTTTGTGTACTCCACATCATAGCCCCAAAATATATGCAATTTGATTTTAATAACTTACAATACATTGCACTTTTCTTTTTAAGTAACTGTAAATTCAGGGGAAATGTTTTTTGGCTTATAACAAAAATCTGGTCCTGATTTTTAGTTTTGCATAATAATTTAATAATTATGTATGTGTAATTATGTATAATTTAAAATTTATTTTGAATAAACTAAATAAAAACGCCTTCATAATTACACTAAACTAAATATGTTAAATAAACGAAAATCGAATGATTTTTTATATTAAACTTAAATTTTTTGTTATATATAGAGCAAGAACTATCTATACCCTCTTTTTGTTTTGTTATTTTTACTATTTTATTATTATATTATGTTAAAATTTAAGTTTATTCAACGTAAACCGTAATATACTTAATATAAGTAGTTATATAGAGGTACTACTATGTTACTGCATTTAAATATACAAAATGAAATTCATTTTCTTCATAAATTTATATAAGAAAAGTAAGTTAAGTATAATTATTGTTATATTTGTTATATTTCACATTAGTTAGATAAATGGTTTAACAAATATTTTCGCAGCTATATTGACGTTAATTTATTTACTACTCTTCTTTTTTTTTATATTTTGTTGAATTTTTTATTGTAATTTAAATTTAATATTATATTATATATCTTTTTAATGATTCCAGTATTCATAGAAAATTAAACTGCAAAAGAGTATTTTATTATACAAACGTATAACAAATTATTAAATTTTGTTCAACTACACTTACATATATATGTATGCAAAATTCGGTTATGAATAAAATTTCTTTGTATTTAGAATGTTACTTAATATGAATTCCGAAAATTTTAACAACATATTTTAAGTATAGCTTGTATATTGGGTGACATAAAAAATATTTGGTGAATAAAATCAAATATCAAAAAGCTTAAAGAAAGGAAGACATTGTCTTTAGTCTTAAAAGGCAATTAAAATTTCAAGATTTCATTGGGTAGTTTAACCTCTTATAGGTTTAATATATATTATGTATGTGATTTACATACGTCATGAGAACTAGTTTTTTAAACACATAATTGAATGTAATATTTCGTTATATTCGATTAAGACGATATCAAAGGGACTATATTTGTAATTACATTTAATTAAGGACTAAAATAAAAATTAAAATACTAAGAGCAAGCTTTCTTCCTATTTCTCTTCCGAAAAGGTTTAAAGCAGAAAATTGTTCAAGGATCGTTTTGAAAATTTCTAATATCAAGTATTTTGTAAATTAACAAGTATTGCAAAGTTGTGATGCAACCTCTAATTATGCAGTTAAATTTTGCCACAATTTTACTATTGCGAAATTGAAAAATTTATTAAAATTGAAAAACCAATGTAATGACATAGAGATACGAGCTACATATATTTATATGTACATATATCTGGGAATCAATGATTGTCTTTAAGAGTTCAGTTCCATTTTGTTTTACTGTAATATTAAATATCTTGCATTTTTGAAATATACCTTTTTTTAAAACCCGATATTTTAATATAATTAAGTTAAAATTATAAGTTAGAATAAATTAAGGTGTATATGACGAATTAAATTAAAATTTTTGATCCATAAAGTTCAACTTGAACTTTAAATTGTTGATAAACAAGTTCTACAACTTTAAAAAAATTTAATATGTATGTATGTATATATAACCTAATTTTAGTATTTTATCTATTGAATATTTTGCATTTATATACTTAGTGTAAAATTAAAGGTCGTTAGCAAATTCTAATGTACATATACAATTGCATAGTATAGTTAATTTTTTAATGTCAAACATATAAACGTAATGTGTACATTATGTACATATATACATATTTATTTATACACATTATATTTTAATAAATATACTTATATATAAATGAGCTGGAATTAAAAATTTGTTGCAATTATCCTTGTAAAATAATTTATTATTAATTTTTACTTTTCTTTTATGTTAATTTCTTTAGCAAAATTTTATTAAACCTACGCATTAAAAACATTTACTTTTACAAATATAATTATTCAAATTATTATAT